TGGCTCAGATGGTTGAGCATCTGCCTTCAGCTCGGGTCAATGTCCCAGGGTCCAGGGATAGAGCTCTGCATCAGGCTTCTTGCTCAACAGAGAGCCTGCTTCTCTCTCTCTCTGTCTGCCTGCTGTTCTCCTGCTTGTGTTCTCTCTCTCTCTCTCCCTCTCTCCCTCCCTCTCTCTCTGTGTGTGTCAAATAAATAAATAAAAATCAAAAAAAAAAAAAAGCTGTTAGATTTCAGTCTATGAGTAGTCATTTCAGAATTGTTTGATTAGAGCCCCAAGACCATCTGGGCTGATATATCATTTCTGAGACCCAATCTGATAAAAAAGTAAATTTAGGGATGCCTGGGTGGCTCAGTTGGTTAAGCTGCTGCCTTCAGCTCAGGTCATGATCCCAGGGTCCTGGGATGGAGCCCCACATCGGGCTCCTTGCTCAGCGGGGAGTCTGCTTCTCTCTCTGCCTCTTTAAAAAAAAAAAAGTAAATTTAAAGCATAATTTTATTTATTTATTTAAGTGTAATTTAAAATCAAATAATTTTAAAGATAAATTAAGAGGAATGGGGTGGGGCTAGTGTACCTAAGATTAGGACCAGGGGACTTTTTTCATCTTCTGATTAATATCATAAGGTGTGGTATAGTAGAAAGAACTTTGGCTCTGTCATAAACACAGGCTCCTCTTACAGTCCCATCACTGACTTGCTGTGAGACCTCCAGCAAATCATTTGTTCTCTAATCTAATTCTATGATTAAGATAAATTCTTCCCTAATTTGTCAGTTGGGAATAATGATGCCTACTTTGTAAGATTCTTATACTGATTAATAGAATCAACATATATGCAGGGCTATGCATACATAGTAGGAACTTAATAAATATTAGCTCTCTTCCCTTTAGTCCATTCTTCCGAGATCTTTTCTCTCACAGTAAAGATTATCCTAAAAAAAAAAAAAAAATCTACCATTTATGTTCTTTCTTGTGCTCAACAACCAGTCTTTTTTTTTTTTTTAAAGCAAGAATTCAAATCACATTCCCACTCCTGTCTCCGGTAACATACAGTCGAATGTAGCTTTCCTATTTACTGGGCCCCTTCCAGAAATCAGCAAATAAATAATGTGATTCTTTGCCCTTTCATTTGACTATTTGATATGTAACAAGGCCATTGTGATTCTGGGGACTCTGAGGAAATAGGAAATTCTCCTTTGTAGTCACACTTCCCACAAAACACACAGTTTTTGAAAAACTTCAGAAACAACAGAGTTACTCACCACCTAATCAGCAACAATCTTGAGATGGGACTAGGAACCATATGTCAAAACCTATGTAAAAGATGCACAATTAAAAGTAAAGAAATGGGCTGAGAGAGTTCATTTCCTTGGTGACAGAGCTAAAAACCAGTGTCCGCAGCCTGACAAACCCAAGGACACGGTATAGTGTAGAGAGGCTGCCTCAGCATTTGACACCGTTTTTTTCTTACCTTCTTTATAAATTCCCTCATTGTTTTAGTGACTCTCTAGTTAATTTATTTCTAATGAGACTAGGTTAACTAAAATCATCTGACATGGAAAAGGAGGAGGTAAGGTTAAAAAGGAACCTAATTAGCAAGTTAATTATAGCAGGCAAAAAAGTGAACGGGTTATATAAATAAGCTATTGTTATGTGCCTGCAAGTTGAGCCTTGTCAAGGGACTTGTTAAGGTTTAGAGGTCAGAGGATCCATGTAATTAGGTGTTTAGGAAAAAAAATAATAAAAGCAAAACAGCTACCAGAATTAGGAATGGTTGATGAGCCACTAACAGAAATGCCTTATTAAGTTGGGCTCTACTGATGGAAGGGTTGTTGGAGCTGCTTCAGGGATTCCAGGGAAGGGCAGCACCCCCGCCCCCCCCCCCAAAAAAACCTAGCTGGAACCAGAGCCAACAGAATTGCTGATGAGGAAGGTTTAAAGGCCTAGCCACGAGGGTCCCTGGACCGGAGAGGTGGCAGTAGGGCTGGTAATGTCACTATGCTGGGCAACAGGAAGAAATACATTGTCAATGGCAACTCTGGGATTAAAGCCCAGGTGAGGCTAAGCTCTTATTTAACCAGGCTTGCTGCCGCGATAGCCATTATTGTAATAGGCCAGCTGCTCTTTCCCTCCTTTGCTGCTTTCATCCCTGCTTCTGGCATAAGGTGAGCTGCCCCTCTCCTAACACTCTCTTTCCCTCCTTTGCCTGTTGGAATTAGGCAGTTCTCTCTGAAATGGTAAAAGAGGGTTAACTCAAAGGACTCTGATTTCACACAAGGTGGAAAAGATAGGGGTGGAATGTACCAGGGTACTTTGCCTGGGCGGCGGGAGAGGACTGTATTATGGGTTGAAGAATGTAATGACATTTAAGGAGAATTGAGAATTGGGCAACAGAGATGACCTACTTAAGCCATGTGTTCTGGTCTTCAGTAAACGATTAACATTTATTTCTTGGGGAAAAGTATATATAACTAATTCTGTGTAAGTGGTTAGTCTCCTAATACTCTTCTATCTTAAATTTGAGGTCAGCATCTAATGAGTAAATAAGACTTAGAACCCTATGTTTTCAAGTGGAGAAAGCTAGCGTAGCGTAGTCTTCTTTAGTGCCAAAAGACCTGGTGGGAGGAATTACTGTAATGGAGAAGACTGGAGAAAAGAGAACTCAGTTTAGGGAAACTGGATTAAGATGAGCAGCCAGATAGCTCCACGGGTTAGCGTGATTGGGGTAAAGTGGTGTGCACCCACCCACTCCTGATCCTACACATCTAGAGAGGCATTGTGGCTGGCCCCCTCTAGTGGTGTGTGGGTTGGGGGGAAGCATATCTGAGGCAGGGTTTATCTGTTACCTTTTTTTTTTTTTCCAAAGTAGGTACTACTGAAGTTAGTGACTCATCCTGGTCTTTGGAAGTCAATTACTACTCCTTTTCCTAGACGGGCCTCTTAAAAAAATAATAATAATTGCCTTGAACAAGGGTGGTGAAATGAAAGCCAGAGTTTTCAGCTTGACTGCTGTCCCTCCTCCCTGTCTTCTCACTCACTTTCCCCTGCCTAGCTTTTTTTTTTTCTTTTTGCCCCCAGAATGCTGTTAACTTTAGATTTGGGTTCTGCTTACCATATTTCCTTAATATTCAACCAAGTACAGACAGTGAAGCTAGAATAGGCTACTTCAGATTCATTGTTTGTTTGTTTGTTTGTTTTAAAGATTTTATTTATTTATTTGACAGAGAGAGAGAGAGATCACAAGTAGGCAGAGAGGCAGGCAGAGAAAGAGGGGGAAGCAGTCTCCCCGATGAGCAGAGAGCCCGATGTGGGGCTTGATCCCAGGACCCTGAGATGATGACCTGAGCCGAAGGCAGAGGCTTAACCCACTGAGCCACCCAGGCGCCCCAGATTCATTGTTTGAGTGTGTGATTGCCTACCGTGTGTCAGGCATTTGTGCCTGAGGATAGAAGGGTGAATGAGATGCATGGCTCCTGTCTTTATGGAGGATACAGGTAGATACTCATTTTCAGTGTGAGAATGCTGTGCTAGGAGAAGTACCTGGAAGTTCATGTATATCCCGTGGGAATGCATAGAAAGAGCACTGTATCTTTTTGAAATAAATTGCTACTTTAGCAAAATAGTCAATTTTGCCAATTTTTCACTTTGCAAAGAGCTTCTGAGCCAATGAATTTTCCTATTACTGAAAACAATTTGCAAACTCTAAAGTACTAACACAGGCTTCATTTGTTGTTACAGCTATGAAAATGCTATGAATTCCCCTAAAAGGTGTGCTAAGCTAATGGCAGTTTGGTATGAGACTCCTCTTCTCGATATTCAAATGACTCACTAGTTTCCTCTAACTGCAGGAATCAGAGCCGTCAGTTGCTTTCATTCTGCTAGGCTGTGTCTGTGTTCTGCCCACCAAGGAACCATCTTTTTGACATGAAGGGTAGTTGTCAGATCTTTGATCCTTCCTGCCTCCACGCTCCCTTGGATCCAGAATAACTGAAGCAATTATACAGACATTCAATTAGGGAGAAAGAAAAACGTCATTTGTTGAATAAATTATACAAGCTTTGCTTCGTAAAGTGCTGGAACCTCCAACAGTAGGAGAAAGAGATAAAATTATAAGAAAATTGTCAGATATTGGTCCAAAATGCAACCTCCAGAGTATTGCTGTCTATAGTCAGTCCAGTCCTCTATCTACTCCTTCTGTATCTGTTATGTTATAGTTAACAGATAATCAGTCTTGTGATTTTTTAGGTATTTTATGATACCAAACGTTTAAAATAATAAATAAATGTTTACTATAAGAACAGTGAATTGTAGGAGTGGGAGTCGGGGATGGATTTACTCAATCTGTTGCAATGTTTTACAGTTTACATGTATTGTTTCACTTAAACCTATCTAAAACTTGTGAGGTAAATACTTTTGTCTTTGCTGTATTTATGAGAAAGGATCACAAAAGCACCTTGACCAACATCACAAAGCTAATGAGTGGCATTGTCAGGATTTGAATGCAGTTTCAGAAAGTTCTGAGTGAAAAGCCTATCTTTTTTTTCATTATACCATCCCATTTCCTGAAATTTTTAAAATCTGTAGACAAGTCACTTTACCTTTCTGTACCTTGCAGTTTTCTCGTCTAGATATGTGAATATTAGGATAAATAGGCTCAAAGATTCTTTCCAGCTTTAATTTTCAGCAAAACTCTAGAAAGGAATATGACTCAGCCTTCTAAAAATTTATTTTAACCAGAACAACCCATTCTCCTTTTTTGTTGCAATTCTATTGTAAAAGTTATATAGCCAGAGTTGATTAAAGATTTAAATTTGATTGAGATATAATGGGTAAAGAATTTTAAAAAATGATTCTGTCCAAAAAGTCTTAACATTCCCAGTATGGGTTGGTACAATCAGATCAACTGCAAAGGAAGGTAAGATCCTATAATGCAAGTCTTCAACTGCTATCTCAAAATGAAGGTTGTTTTCCTTTATATAACTAGCATTCTTTTTCTTAGCAGATCCAATTTGCTGACCAGAAGCAAGAATTCAACAAACGTCCCACCAAAATTGGACGTCGCTCTCTGTCTCGTTCCATTTCTCAGTCATCTACTGACAGCTACAGCTCAGGTGGGTACTGAGCGGCTGTGGACCCACCTGTGGAGGCTAATTAAGTGTGATCAGTTGACCCTCCTGTCCGTTTAAGTACCGTCCAACCTGTGCTGTGAAATAGACACTTTGATTCTCAATCAAAATTTAGACCAAAATTCTAGATGGAATCTTTAGATTCCTTGAGGATTCAAAGTGGAACTGAATAGAGATCTCTTCTTCCAATAAAGGCAGAAGAGGGTGATCAACAAACCTGATTTCTAATTTCTTCAGAGGGTGGGCATATGTAACTTACTGATGACCTTTATTGACTTGTGTTGTTTTCCATTCTTTGAAAATAAAAGAGGAATTCCCCATCCCTCCGTTCAGAACTTGCAAATTAATGGGGAAAGCTTAATTGCACCAAGAAACAATGGAAACATTCAAGCGGGTCCTAGTTCTAGGGATCCCTTTGCTTTCTCTTCTAAGCTGTCACTCCTTCCTTCCTTTGCAGTGGCATTAATTCAAATATATGGGCTCTGAAGCTATCATTTAATGCCAGATGAGCTGTTACCACACAGCACCCTTAAAGACATTGACCATTTGTGCAGCAGTGCCTGCTATGTATCTGATCTCATATGGGGTATTTTATTTTGCTCTTATGTTGGAATATCATAGGAAGCTGACTGTTTGCCCTAGTTATCTCTTCACATTATAATTAGTAATCATCTTCAGAAATTTTTCATCATGACCTAAAATTTTGTTTGTTCTTCACACAAATAGGAAAGTAGTATCTGTTATATAAAATTGTAAAAAGCTTGTTTGGGAAGCTGTAACTTTTAGGTTGGGTGAATTATTATTTACACTTGTTATATTTCTCTTTTTACTCCTCTTTACCCCCAAAACAGAATGATGTAAATCCCTATGGATTTCTGTGTAAAGATATGTGTAAAAATTGTGTACCTATCTTACTCTGCTAAAATAACCAGAGTTGAGCATTCATGAACCAGTTGATATAACTCTGGAAGCCTTAATAATTATGAAAATGGGCATTGTAAAATGATGTGTAACATTTTAGACTGTGAGTTTATACATATTATATAAAGATTGATACAAACAGTAACTATACTAAGTTTTAAGGCCAGCTCAGTCTTCTCCCTGCACACTAGATCTGTATTTCTAGTTGTATTCCTGCAGAGAAAACCAATGCCTGCCTTCCTAATGAACCCTTACATGTAGGGAGGGCACTTATAAAATACTTATTTAACAAGAAAGTATGACTGATGCCCTTGGTTTCTAAGTGAACACATATTTGCCTGCTATATAGTTCACTGGTAAGTGGTATTGACTGATGTCACCCTGGAAAACTTGGACCTTTTAGGTTGAACTACATGAAGTTGCCATTTTTATAGTCAAAAATTGTCAACCTTCTATATCCATTTAAGAATATTAAGTTCAGGGCGCCTGGGTGGCTCGGTGGATTAAGCCTCTACCTTCGGCTCAGGTCATGATCTCAGGGACCTGGGATCGAGTCCCGCATTGGGCTCTCTGCTCAGCAGGGAACCTGCTTCCTCCTCTCTCTCTGCCTGCCTTTCTGCCTACTTGTGATCTCTCTCTGTCAAATAAATAAAATCTTTAAAAAAAAAAAGAATATTAAGTTCAAGAGCATGGAGTCAAACCATTCTGGAAATAGAAAATAACTTAAGATCAATTACTCAGCTTCCCACTGCATGCTAGAATTACCTTGTAGGTGTCCCTGACAAATGGCCATCTGGTTTCTTTGGGAGCATTCTAGATGATAGGGTGATTCTTGCTTTATCTAGTTATGAGAGCTCTACCAGCTCTCATATAATCCCTGGAATTTAATGATTTTACATAGAAATTTTAAAAAAAATCACCATTTTCAGGGCATCCCACTGTCCTGGTTATCCTCATCTGGATAAATTAAAGATTAAGTGTCCTTTTAAAAATATGTCTTTGGGGGCGCCTGGGTGGCTCAGTGGATTAAGCCGCTGCCTTCGGTTCAGGTCATGATCTCGGAGTCCTGGGATCGAGCCCCACATCGGGCTCTCTGCTCAGCAGAGAGTCTGCTTCCTCCTCTCTCTCTCTGCCTGCCTCTCTGCCTACTTGTGATCTCTCTCTCTGTCAAATAAATAAATAAAATCTTTAAAAAAAAAAAATGTCTTTGGCTGTAATATTCCATTTACAATCTGAAATAATTTATAGGAAGTGCTATTTCCATAAACTCAGTGCTTTTAAAATGAAATGTAAGATGATGTTTGCCCCTTTTTTTTTTTTTAGATTTATTTATTTATTTTAGAGAGAGAGAAAGAGAGTGGGGGTTGAGTGACGGGCAGAGGGAGAGGGAGAGAATCTCAGGCAGACTTCCCGCTGAGCACAGAACCCAATCCCTCCGACCCCAAGATCATGACCTGAGCGAACTGACTGAGACACCCAGGCGCCCGGATGTTTGCTTCTTTTGCAGCTATTTCATAAACTCCGTTACCTTGCTTTGTTTTTGTTTTTTGGGTTTTTTTCGCATGAACAATGGGCAGGGCCTGGTGTGGGAGTTAGGAGAGACCTCCTTTCTAGGCTTTGATCCATGTGTGATGTGTTTGTGTGGTCTTGAAAAACTCTTTCTGCCTGTGGTGTTCATAAGCGAGAGTTATAAGAGAAGTTCACAATGTTCACAATGAGAAGTTAACATGAGGTGAGACAGAAAATGCCCTATATCGATCAAATGAAAAGCCAGGAATATGGAATTGACTTATAGCTTTCTAAATACAGGAAGATATGCAAATGCATGTCAATAAAAACTTGGAACCCACTTTCAGCATACATTATCATTTAAGTGACTATAGAAAGTGGTAGCATTGGAGAGCCTCAAGACTGATTCTTGGATCTCCTCTCTGTTTATATTCCCCCTACGTGAGTTCATGCAGCCTCATAGTTTTAAATACTATGTATTGACGTTTGAGCCTCAGCTTTTATCTCTGCCTCAGATCTCTCCCCTACACACTAGATCCATATATTCAATTACCTGCTCCGTCCTTTCACTTGGATGTTTTATAGGCATCTTCAGTGTGTTAAAAACTGAGCTCCTGAGTTCCAAGCTTGCCCCTCTTTAGTTTATTCACTGCACTACAGCCAGATTCATTCTCTTGAAATATGTCAGGTCATATCAGTTCTCCCCTCCAAACCCTCTAATGCTTCCGAGTCTCACTCAGAGTGAAGACTAAAGTTCTTACAGTGGCCTACACAGCCCTATATCATCCCATTACGTTTCTAATCTCATTGCTACCTTCCCAGATTTCCCTCCTCTTCCAGCTAGACATTTCACTCCAGCCATACTAGGCTCCTTAACTGCTGTTTTGTTATTTCAAAACATGCCAGGCACTCTCCTGCGTTAAGGTCTTTGCATTTGCTATTTCCTTTGCCTGGGATGCTCTGAGATAGCTGGGCATCCTACCTGCTTCAGTTCTTAACTAAAGATTACATTCTCATTGAGGCCTATCCTGGTTCTCAGAATTGTACAAATACCCCACACCAATATCAATAACTTTGATATTCCCTATCAAAGTTTCCTCCTTTATTTTTCTCCATAGCACTTATTATCATACAATATACTATGTATTTTACTAATTTATTATTGTTTCTCCCCTTACTTGAATAAGAGATCTATGAGAACAGAGATTTGGCTGTTTTGTACTTTTCTATTACCGACCTTTAGAAATGCTTGACACTTAAGAGGTGCTTGATAACTAAATATTGGTGAAAGGTGCCCAGCCCTTTACTTCATATTCTTGTTGAGGTCTCTGATATACTCTGTATGTGAACAGCTAGAAGAAGGTTTATGACCTTTCAAAAAAAGATACCTCCCTACCCAGAATGTTTGTTTTGCTGAAGTTATTTGGAGGTTTGGGTAGTCTGTGGCCTGTTCTCTCTGCCTAAAGATCCTGGTGCTAAGTTTTGGTATGCTTTCATTTAGAAGCCTGTATCAATCTTTCTCAAGTGGGGCTCCTCATCAGAATCACAGAACACAGAAAAGAACTGGAGACGTTGTTTTCTCAGTTCTCCGAAGGATGGTTCATGACCAGCACCCTTCCAGATGGATAGGAGAGAATTTAATTTAATTTAATTAATTTAATAATTTAATTAATTTAATTTAATAATTTAATAATCCATATTCTATGGATGCTTCAAGGCATTAAGGCTTAATTCTAGTGGAACCCAGGTTGAAAAGAGCTACATTAATTCCTAAAATTTATGCATTCCTGAAATTGTTTATAAGAAACAAACTTTTCAAAACTCTTTCCTAAAGAACAGAACCTCATAAAAACAAGTGAGCAGAAGAGAATTCTTCAAAGTCAAATCATTCTCATTGATATATGTCTAAAAAAGCTGCCTTTGCAGTGAGTTAATTGGTTAAAGATAAGAAAGGAAGACCGAAGTCCCTTCATTCATAATTGGTTCTTATAAAACTTAAAAAATTATTTTCAGATTTTTCCAAACAACAAAGTTTTGTTTGTTTGTATTTTGGTTGCTAACATAGCTTTTCACATATTTCTAGACTGTTATTCATCAGTGAAATCTGCTGTACATTGACACACACATCCCTACTGTTATTTCCATTGCCAAATGAATAGATTGGGCCCAAGAGGAATTGTCTGACTTAAAATAGTCTAATAGGACTAATTCATCTGGGAATCTGACTACTTCTTCTCCTAGCAATAACCCTTAATATCACAGCTGCTAGGAGGTAAGTCTTCATCAGGCTTGAGCCATAGAACGTATGTTTGCATGTTCTATGGGATAGATTACAGATTAGTAATTCAAGAGTTATATTTTGATTCTGGGTTATCATGAAACAAGAGAATACCCCATGTGAAGTTACATTGTACTTTATATTACTTTTCTGCCTAGAAATTGAACCCTTTTTGTACTCTCATTTATTCATGAGATTTTTGTGGTGGAGATAGTTAGGGGAAAGAAAGAACATGGGAGAGAGATCCATCAAACTCCCAATTTTACAGTTGGATAAACTGAAAATTGGTCACAACCAATTAGAGGTAAAGCTAGAGCTCACGCTGTACTTCAGTTGGTTATTGCCTTGATTATCAGTTGTTCATTTTTAATTGAATTATGGCTCTGGGCTTCAGAGTGTGACAGCTATAAACATTTTGGAAACTATGCAAGCATGTGTATATATTATATACGTGTTGGGTTTCTCTACATTTTCTTAGGAAAAAACCTTTGATGCTGTCTCAGATAGTTTCATGAATGTGCTACTTTAAATATAGTGACAGAAATAAGTATGGATTCAAAAAGCAAATATCATGCTAGTTCAGGAATAATCTTTCCATTGTGTTTGCAGAAATACCCTCTCTTGGTTTGGGTCTCTCAGCCATTTTGCATTCACATATTAGTACAATCTAGACAACTGATACTTTTGTTTCTCACCTGATAACAGGTTTGCACAAAGGACTCTTTGAAAACAAATCTCTTGTGGCTCAAATAAAAACATTGAGCTAACTATAACCAGTTGACTACTATGAAAAAAAAAATACTCATTTGGGGAGTTTCTTTTAGAGCAGGGAGGTGGTATAATAATTTCTTTTTGAGAGAGAAAAAAAACAACTCAAGCCAAAAATTTGAGTGCTTTTTCGAAGAGGAAATTGGGGGGTTATTTTTGTTGTTGTTGTTTATGTGGTTTTTTGTTTTGTTTTGTTTTTTGTTTTTACCCTGACTCATCCTTAGAAGCTGGAGAGGCATAGGAGAGGAATGCTATTCTGGGTAGAGTTAGAACTCCAGTCTCAACGTTTTTCCTCCCTGCCAGCCAGCCACCTGCTGCTTTTTTAGGTTAGTAGATGAGGGAGGTAGAAAAAAAAAGAAACTGCTAAATAATATTGTATGTATTGTAATATTATGTAATATTATGTATTAAATGTAATATTATGTATTAAATTAAAAATATTCGCAAAAGCCAACAATAATATCAGGTGTCATTTGTTGAGTGCTTAATTACTTTATACCAAGCATTGCACTAAGCTCTATACTTATATTATCTTATTTAATCTTCTCAACAACTTGACTCTGAAAGTTACATCTTCTTATTTTACAGTCAGCTTCGTAGCACATATTACAACCATAGGAAAAGAAAGTCTCCAATTAATTTTGTAATTATTTCATGTCTGACTTACCTATTAGACTGAAAACTCCATGAAGATAAAGACAATCCATATTTGCTCTCTATACCCAGTACTTGGACTCTGCCTGGTATACAGTAGACACAAAATAAAAATTTGTTGAATGAACAACTGAATGTGTGAATGACTGGATTCGTGAAGGAATTAATAATTCTATTAATCAGGTTCTGGAACACCTTTTCTATACCCAGAAACAGAGACTGAGACTTCAAAGTCTGTCTGACTCCAGAACACATATCCACTATACAAATGGCCTTTGGAGAACATAGAAATCATTATGCCTCTAGAAAAGGATTTAAATTTCAGGATATTCTGAATGTAAACACTTTCTTCAAAAGCAGTTATGCTATAAATTATGGTCAAGATTAGGGATGGTCATTACCTTTCTTCCCTCAGGTGGTAGAAGCAAGGTTCCCCTAAGCCTCCAGCATATAAGCTATTTCTGAGTATCGATTAGTGAAACAGATGACTGCCCAGGAAGTTGTTTCTGGGCTCTGTTGCCAAAGGTACTTTGAACTCTTGCTCACCCTAGGAGGGAGAACCACAGACTCTTTATACAGATTAATTCCTTTCAAGAACAAAAGTCCTTTTGGGGATTTACTAATTCCTTCACCTCCCTTGGTGCCTGTGTTCATTCTTGTTGCCTCGTGTTAGGACTTTGCTCTAGGGCAGTTTTCCAGCTCCAGGAGAGACACTCAGGCCCCTGCTGCCCAAACATTTTGTAGTGCCATGCCCGATTAACTGGGCAAGGTCAGACTTGCCTTTTACAGCTCTCCCAGATATAGATCCTTTGCTAAGAAATCCCAGAAATGCCTTAATTCTCCGGATGTAAGTAGATCAGAGCACCATAGACCTTAGGAGATCTGAGTGTTTACAGCTTTTCCCCCCTAAATGTGATGGAAGTACTTCCTATCCCTTTGAGAGATATGTAGCACCTTTATATCCCCCAACCTCCCTGGCCCCTCAAAAAAATTAAAAAAAAAATTTTTTTTAAGCAATTTAAAAACAAAACAAAAAAACCCACCACAAACCTTGAGGACTACTTAGGAAGAAACTATCCTCCAAAACTTAAATATAAATCATGGAAGGAAATTAAAACATCCAGCAAATGATTAGCAACTACAGAATTGTATGAAGACTGAAAAGACCTCAGCTAAACATGTGAGTAGCAGCAGTTGCCTGTTAGCCACCATCACAACTCTGAGACCTTCCACCTTCTAGCGTGTATTGCTAAATGGATTAACCATCAGGACATTTTAGTATACCAAAGGAGGATTTATGCATTTCTTTGGGAACCTAAAATGCCTATTGCCGGGCCCACTGAGGCCAGCAGGAAGGGAGAGCACACTGAATACTTCATTGTCAGTATCTAATTGGGTCTGCAGGCATAGTTCAGCCTCATCAGAGCCAGTCTTCAAAAGAAGGCTCTGTTCTGTCAGACAGACACTTTTTGTGCAGTCCTTAATTACTTTCCCATGGGTTCTCTAGGTCTTGTCTGTTCAGTTATTGTGCTAAACCACAAATTACAACAGGCATCTAAGCAGCAGACAGAAGGGTAGCTTGGATCTGAGAATCCCATAGGTTAATGACTGTGATCTTGCACTAAGAACTTCAATCTATTGCTATTGTGGTGTAACCTCTTTCTTTTTGCATATTCAGGGAGCTCTCACGTTCTGAAGGTGGTTAGCCCCAGATTCCAAGTTAATGCTAGGGGGAATGTCTTTGGCAACCTCTCTGGCTTCCTCTTTTCTTTTCTTTTCTTTTTTTTTAAAGATTTTATTTATTTATTTGAGAGAGAATGAGTGAGAGAGAGCATGAGAGAGGAGAAGGTCGGAGGGAGAAGTAGACTCCCCAAGGAGCTGGGAGCCCGATGCAGGACTCGATCCTAAAGTCCGGGATCGTGACCTGAGCACAAGGCAGTCTATCAACCAACTGAGCCACCCAAGCGCCCTCTGGCTTCCTCTTTCTGACCTGTGACTAGCACTTTCCACAGGAGGTGGTTGAGGCAGCTCCAGACTGCCATGTTAGGTGTCTGCCATCAAGGTGTACACCTGTGTGGTGGTGGATGACCCGAGAAGCCTCGGTTCACTCCATGGTTTGGTATTTTAGAGGAAGCTGTTCTTCTCCCTGAGGGTTTTTTATTCTGTCATTTCAGCGGCTTCCTATACAGATAGCTCTGATGATGAGACCTCTCCTAGGGATAAGCAGCAAAAGAACTCTAAGGGAAGCAGTGACTTCTGTGTCAAGAACATCAAACAGGCAGAGTTTGGACGAAGAGAAATTGAAATTGCAGAACAAGGTAAAGAAAGCCAGCACTTTTTCCTTCTCAAGTTGCCTAGGTCTTTTTGTCCATGTTAATCTCTTTTTATGTCCTGGGGTCTAGTCGCTTGTGAAATTTAAGTGTGGTTTTACAGAATACTTACTACAAAAGAAATCTGAACTTAGGAAACACTGTGGGGAGGGAGTGAACTCTGGTGGGTCTACAAGGAGCTCCTCCTATACCAGGAAAAGGGAAAGAGAGTAGATGAGGAGGACTGGGATATAGGGCATCCGAACTCTGGAGCATTTGCCTCTCCAAGCCTCTTAGAATGAAAAATCAGGTTCAATGTCTTGATCCCTTGAGAAGCCCAATCTAACAAAGAACCTGATCAGGGGAAGAATCTTCTTTTAAGAGTAAGTTCTTCTGTTTATTCTTTCTGTCTCAATCCCTCCTCTCTAATAGTGCTGTGTATGTTTTGTGCCTTTTCAGAAATGCCTGCACTGATGGCTTTGAGGAAGAGAGCTCAAGGAGAAAAACCTTTGGCTGGAGCCAAAATTGTGGGTTGCACACACATCACTGCTCAGACTGCTGTGAGTCCTTTTTCCTTCTCCACATAATAATAGTTAATAATAGCCACCAGCTGTTGAGTGTTTGCAGCATGCCAAGCAGCGGGTTAAGAACTTAATAAGTATTAGTTTATTAATCCTCAAAATGGCCAGGTAAAGCAGGTATTCCTGTTTCTACTTTACAAATGAGGAAGCTAGGGCTCAGAGTGTTTTAAGTACTTTGTCCGAGGTTATACAGCTAGTAAATCATAGAATTTGGATTTGAACTTCAATATATGAGTCCCAAGTTTATGCTTTCTCTGTGCTGCACTGCTTTCCCCTTATCTTTCCTTCCAGTGTCATTTCTTTCTTTCTTTTTTTTAAAGATTTTATTTATTTATTTAACAGAGAGATCACAAGTAGGCAGAGAGGCAGGCGAGGGGGTGGGGGCGGGGAAGCAGGCTCCCAGCTGAACAGAGAGCCCGATGTGGGGCTCGATCCCAGGACCCTGGGATCATGACCTGAGCCAAAGGCAGAGGCTTGACCCACTGAGCCACCCAGGCACCCCTCCAGTGTCATTTCTATGAGGCAGCTCTCTTTGGTTGCTTTCAGCTGCAAGTGAGAGAAAACCTGATTCAACCTGGCTCATACATAAAGGAATTTATTATATTCCATAACTAGAAGTCCAGAGGTAAGATGGACTTTAGATGTGGGATCTCAGGGCTCCAGTTTCATCTGTCTGATTTTCTTGGAGCTGCCTTGTCACTTATTTCATCCTCAGGTTCATAGCAAGATGATTACAGCTCTTTGAGCCATCACAAATTAACATGAAGAATAAGGATCATTTCTTCCTCTTCCCCAAGAGCAAGATATTCCATCATGTGTCATTGAACTGGGTCACATACCTATGGCCCACCAGTTTTGCTGAGAGGACTGAAGTTATCATGATTCCTTTAGACCAGCAATTCGCACCCCTATCAGATTCAGTGTCTCTTTTTTATAAAAATATTAAAAATATTTTTGCAATGTCCCGTATTATCTTAGAATAAAATTCAAATAAAACATACCTCGGTACATATTTTTTTAAATTAATATAAAATCTTAACTGAAATTTGAAGGAGGAATAAAAGCAAAGTAATTTATAATGAAAAAAAATTTTTTTTTGGTATGTAAATGCTTAGGTACAAGCACAGTGAAATACTTGGATATTTGTACTTCCTCATAACATTATTTAGATGAGAATGCCACAGATGTAGATGGGGATACTGGTTACTGGTTACTGGTTCTAGAGTGTCAGATTGGCATTGCCAAATTATATGATTTTCTGAATCATAATAAACTGTAAACAACTTTTAAAATTTCTAAACAACAGCAAAAAGTGTGTGTTTTCTCTTAATTTACACACTTGTTACATTCCTGGAAAAGTTATTATTTTATATTGAAACTACAAAATATTTTTTGTTAAATGTGAAGTGGAATAAGGTTCTAAACTTAGATAATTATAAATAGGTTTCTCACACATGTGAGAACATTTGAAAACTACTAAATGTGGTGTGCTTTTGTTGGTTTTGTTGTAAGAGACTGTCTCTGTACTTTCAAAATATCAAAACCTTTGGTCCTGATCACTAAATGCCAGGAGCATTCCCCTCCCAATTATTGTAACAATCAGAAATGCCCCCACAGTTTTCCAGCGCTCCTCTGTTGAGAACCACTGACTCAGAGCCCTCATCAAAGATGTAAGAGATATTGAATTGCCAACCATAATGAGACCAGTACAGGAAATTGATGTATCGAGAATTCATCTGAAATCTTTTGTATGATTTATAAGACTCAGGTCAGCTGTATGGTTAGATCAACTTTCAGAAGATTGTCTCCTGAAGCATAACACTTATTTATATGGCCACATTCCTGATTAAGTACAGCAGAGAGTCCTTAAGACCCAGGTAGCTACTGTGAACATCTTTCCATGAGACTTTCTGGATTACATGTTCTCTAAAGGAAAAAAATACCTTGACTGCCCAAAATTAATGTAATAAATTAAAAAGCTGTCTCTTTTTGGAGCCACAGACTAATGAATCAAGGCAAAAACTCTCTTGGAATCTTTTTTGGTCTTCCCCAGTCAGGGACATGAGACTTAAGTGTGGCGGCTTAAAATAGTAAGTGCTCTGTACTGTCTCATGTTGCTAAATTACATCTAGTTTCTTTTTTACCCCCTGGCTCACCAAACATTACCACTTTTCAGGGTTCCCTTTTATTTTCTCTTGAATGGAGTAATCAAAATTAGTTTACCAATTTTTAATATTATTTTGTTTTTCCCTCACTACATTTTTTCTTTTTCCTTTAAAAAATAATTACAAAGGAATTTTGCTTTTTTTTTAATCTCGACTTTCTTTTTCTGATTACAAAAGTAGTTCATATTCATTTTATAATACTCAGTCATTACCACAGTCATTAGCATAAAAGGCAATCGCCTATAATCCCATGTTCCAGAAGTAACTATCATAGTTAATGGTTTCCCATCCATGTTTCTAATAGACTTGGATCTATTTATATTTTTTAGGTGTGTTTCCATAGTTCCTTCTAATAACCAGATTTCTTTGCTATTCTCTCTAAATAGTGATGATTGAAAGTCGGGTTAAACCAGCTTCTAAGCTCTCTCCTCCTTCCACTTCTACCTGCATTCACTTCTGCTTGAGCCCTAACAGCCAGCAGTCTTGATTTAGAATTCTTTGAACCGTTCTTATATTCTTGGCCCCAGTTATTTTTCTTTTCTAGTTAATTTATATTGCTCTGTAGGTGAGTCTCAGTATTCTTCTTTTGTTTGACAAATTTGAGAATCCTAGCTATACGAATTCAGAAATTCTTTAAGGTGAAAAATAAAATGAGAGGGGAAAAATATGGTATCAAGTGTTGAAAGGTAGTAAGGAGGGGTGCCTGGGTGGCTCAGTGGGTTAAAACCTCTGCCTTCGGCTCAGGTCATGGTCTCGGGGTCCTGGGATGGAGCCCAAGCCCCGCATTGGGCTGTCTGCTCAGCGGGGAGCCTGCTTCCCCACGTCCCCCCACCCCACCCCCCACCTGCCTGTCTGCCTACTTGTGATCTCTGTCTGTCAAATAAACAAATAAAATCTTAAAAAAAAAAAGGAAAGATAGTATGGACTGGAAATTAAGACATATGGGTATTTCTGCTATTAACTTACTATGTGGCCTTGGACAAATTACTTTAGGGGGTTCGCCTAAATTAGTGGAGTTGTTTGCAAGTTTTTTTTTTAAATTAGAACATAATTAGAATTTTTATTTAGCATAGAAATATTAGAAAATACAAGTTTGACAACATGAAAAGTACCAGTACTCAGAGTTAACTACTGTCAGGAAATTTTAAAACAAGTTTTTTAACCAAAGCTTTATTCTTGTTAAAATAGTTTGTAATCAAAGCAGTAGGTCGGGGGGCACCTGGGTGGCTCAGTCAGTTAAGCTTCTGACTTGGGCTCAAGGTCATGATCTCAGGGTCCTGGGATCAAGCCCTGTGTTGGGCTTCCTGCTCAGTGGGGAGTCTGCTTGTCCCTCTGCCCTTCCCCCTGCTCATGTTCTGTCTCTCGCTTGGTCTCTCTCACCCTTTCTCTCTCTCTCTCTCTCAAATAAATAAATAAATAAATAAATAAATAAATAACTTCGTTTAAAAAAAGCAGTAGATGGTATACTACCTTCTTTAAAAGAATCCTACCTCTATCTTATATAATGAAGTAAAAGTAAGTCAGGTTCTAGGGGTGCCTGGGGGTCTCAGTCGGTTAAGCATCTGCCTTTGGCTCAGGTCATTGGGATTGAGCCCTGTGTTGGGCTCCCTGCTCAGCAGGGAGTCTGCTTCTCCCTCTCCCTCTGCTGCTCCCCCTGCTTATGCTTTTTCTCACTCTCTCTCCGGCTCTCTGCCAAATGGATAAAAATGTTAAAAAAACAAACAAACAACTAAGGATCAGATCAGTGGAGTAAGTTTTTTTTTAATAATATTTTTCTTTTTTTTTAAATTTTATTTATTTATTTGACAGAGATTACAAGTAGGCAGAGAGACAGGCAGAGAGAGGTGGAGGGAAGCAGGCTCCTGCTGAGCAGGGAACCCCATGCGGGGCTCGATCCCAGGACCGTGAGACCATGACCTGAGCCGAAGGCAGAGGCTTTAACCCACTGAGCCACCTAGGCACCCCATTTTTTTAATAATTTTTTAAAAATAATTTAAACAAATATTTCCCTGGATGGCTCAGTAGGTCAAGCCTCTGCTTTCAGCTCAGGTCATGATCTCAGGGTCCTGGAATCAAGCCCCACATCAGGTTCTCTGCTTAGCGGGGAGCCTGCTTCCCCCTCTCTCTCTGCCTGATTCTCTGCCTACTTGTGATCTCTCTCTCTTTCTGTCAAATAAATAAATAAGTAAAATCTTAAAAAAAAAAAAAATTTCTTAAGGGGAGCCTGGGTGGCTCAGTCGGTTAGCGTTTGTCTTTGGGTCAGGTCATGATCCCAAGATGGGCTCCCTGCTCAGCGGGGAGCCTCCTTCTCTCTCCTTATCTCCCCACGCCCACCCCTATATTCTCTGTCTCTTTCAAATAAATAAAATTTTTAAAAACAAAAAAAGTTAAAATTAAAGTAATAAAATATTTTAAAATTTGAAATTAACATGGATTTATAGATAAGTTGCAAGATAGTGTGGATCACTTTTTTCTCAGACTTTTGAGAGCAAGTTGCCAATCTGATATTCCTTTACCCACAAATACTTCATTGCATACTTTCTACAAACAAGGACATTCTCTCATTCAACCAGTACAGCTATTCAAAATCAGGAAATTAACATTGACTTATATTACCATCTAATCCTCAGACCTCATGTATATCATTAATTGTCATCCCTTTTAGTCTCCTTTAGTCTGGAATAGTTCATCGGTCTTTCTTTGACTTTCATGACCTTGATACTTTCAAAAATTGCAAATGAATTATTCTGTAGAATGTGCTCAGTTCTGCTTTTCCTGATGCGTCCTTATTATTAAATTCAGGCCATGACTTTTTGTTAAGTGATACTGCATTTTTTTCATTGAATCTTATCAGGTGACACATTGATCTAGACTTGATATATCATTTGTCAAAAGGATGTTCATTTTGATCCTTTGCTTGAGGTAGTGTCTGCTAGATTTTTCACTGTAGAAGTTATTTTCCCCCTTTGTGATTAAAAGTTATTTCGTGAGGTAGTAATATGAAACTATGTAAATATCCCATTTTAAAAATTTTTTTTATAAACATTAAATATCCCATTTTTCATCGAACTTTCAATTTTTTTCATTTATTTACTTACTTTTATTTGTATGAATCATTGTTTCCTATTTTATTTAATGGATTATAACCCATTACTATCACTGTTTATCATGATGCTCAAATTGTTCCAAACTTGTCCCGGAGGAACCCCTTTCATCTTGCTTCTGTGACTTCTTTGTCTTTTGACATATCCTCTCGTTCTTTAAGTATTTACTTGCTTCTGATATATGATTATCTAAGCTTATTTTGTACATTCTTTGCCCTAACTCTGGAATCAGCCATTTCTCCAAGGAGACTGGTTCCTTTTTTTTTAAGATTTTATTTATTTATTTATTTATTTATTTGTCAGAGAATGAGAGAGAGAGAGAGAGAACACAAGCAGGGAAAGCAGCAGGGAGAGAGAGAAGCAGACTCTCTGAGCAGGGAGCCCAATACGGGGCTCGATCCCAGGACCCTGAGACCATGACCTGAGCCAAAGGCAGAAACTTAACCAACTGAACCACCCAGGTGTCCCCCAATACACTTTCTTATTGTCAGAAACTTAATTTCCTTGACCAGATGTTTGGCTAGCTTTGTTTATCTCCTGCTTTCTGTTTAATACAGGTGCTTATGGAAACTCTGGGTGCGCTGGGGGCACAGTGCCGATGGGCAGCCTGCAACATCTATTCCACTCTCAATGAAGTGGCTGCTGCTCTAGCAGAAAGTGGTAAGATCTTTTGCTTGTCTTCTGTGTCTTTAGCTAAAGTAAGTCTCCGAAAAGTTCCATATATTCAATATAAATCTTTAAGATAGTGATATTTAAGGATCTGTCTTGGGGGAATGGATCCCTATTCTTGTGAGTTTGCTCTCCTTCTGTGCTTCTCTTGTTAAATATGATGTAGGTAACTCTGTTTTACAGTTGGCAAATACCTTCATATGTCTAATATTATTTTATTAGTTAATGCTTTGCCTTGACTTGCTAATATTAGACCACAGTGAACACTACTTGTTGTCTAAGGTAATACGGATTAGAAAATAAAGTGCTTCAGGTGTAGTTTTGTGGTCCTGCTCGTTTTTCAGCAGCTTGCCCCAATTTAATGTTTGGTGTTTCTGCTTCAGCAGTAAAAAGGACTTGACCTGGCAGATTAATATTTGATCACAATGGCTACTGACACAGGAAGGACAAAATGAAGAGAGATTTGGACTTTGCCAGTTTCTTGTCTTCCTTCTGTGGCAGCACAGCACAGATCAGGGTACCAAATGCTTATTGCTTCAGAGCTCTTACAAAATGCTGGAAAAGCTCTGTGGTATATGCATGTCTCTCCTTTTGCTAACACTTTAGTATTTCATTTGTTTTTCATTTATATTCATTATAAAATTTTTATTAGTATATAAAACATGTATATAAAAGGGCACAAGTATTAAATATATAGCCCAATGAATTGTACATATACATTCTTTTTTTTTTTTTCCCGACAAAGGTTTAATGGCCTACTCTTAAGAGATATAAGAACAAATGAGACCATGTCTTTGCCCTAAGAATCTTATATTGTGATTAAGGAGAAAAGACAAAATATATAAATAATGATAATATAAGGACATATATGATAAATGCCACGACAGATCACTAAATCTGCATTTAGTGCTCAAGCAAGCAGCTTATAAAAGTTCAGATTCCATGAAAAATCACTTGCAGTTAATCAGGCTCCGTTAGGAACACAAAACTTAACTGGGCTATGATAACATTTTAACCGATGGAGAAGAGCATAGGGGTTCTCCTGATGAAGAAGGTGGGGTGACCAAAGTGTAGACACAAGAAAGATCAGAGTGTAGTTGAGAAATGGTGAGACTTCCAGTTTGACTGGATCAAGATGTACTCATTTCTGATTTCTTCTTTTTTTCCCTTTAATCTTACTTGTAGCATCCATCATACTCTTGTCCCTTTTGTTTGTCTTTTTTGTTGGATCAAGAGCAAAATGGCCACCAAAGACAAAGAAGTGCATGAAGGGGCTGAAGACAGTGTTAATCAGTGAGGAAAGTCAGTTCAAGGAGTAGAGCAGAATGAGAGAATGGGAACTGGGGAAAGCCAGTATCTTGTCAGAATTTAGGGGCAGCCCTTCTTTCAGGCTTTAACAATTTCTCTTTGTTCCCTTTTCTCAGGATTCCCTGTCTTTGCCTGGAAAGGAGAGTCAGAAGATGACTTTTGGTGGTGCATTGACAGATGTGTGAATGTGGAGGGCTGGCAGCCAAACATGGTGGGTTAGATTTCTGCTAGCACAATTCTAGAGGAATTTGGTGGGGACAGAGTGGAGGGCTATGGCCTGGGAGAGGGTGTCCCAACAGGAAGGAAGGAAAATGCTTCCTTTTCTATTTTATCTGGGCTTCCAGCAGAACTGGATGCTTATGTTTAGGGTACCGTAAGAATTTTGAACTTAGCCTCAAAGTGCTAAAATTATTGGTACTGATCTTGAGAAAAATTTATATTCATCAGCAGCATTAAAATACTGCTCAGGGTTCACACATGGCTGGTTCAAGGTTAATGAGTTACCATCCCCTACCCACCTCCCCCCTCTAACAACAATAATGAAAATGCACACACAAACACATATACATTATACAGCTCCTGTGGTACTTCGCTTTTCTCTAGAATTACTGGCTAAATTTATAGTAAATATGAGGAGATTCCAAGTTCAAATTTCTTCTCTTTATTTTCCACTTTAAGAAAGCTGCCTAAGCAAAAAGTTTTGGGGTTTTTTATTTTGCTTTATTTAATTTCGGTTCATTTTTTAAAAGACCCAAGTTCTCGAAGGCCAATAGCAGCTTAGAGTCACAGAGAAGCAAAAAGCTGCACAAAGTATGAAGCACTCCTTTTTCACAAACATTTTGCATATAAAGGAGACGAGAAACTAGGGAATCAACTGAAAAAAGGGTCCTTGAAGCTCCAGTCCAGCTATTGCTTGCTGCTAAAAATTGCAGAGTAGGCCTCACTTGGTACACAAAGAGGGAAGCAACAACCTCTTTCTGGATTCTGTGATGCAGGTTACATTGCACCGCACGCTGGTTTGAGGAAGCTGGGTTAATACCCTGAAAGGGAGGGAGGAGTCAGCTGCAAGATGAGTCAGCTCATTCCCACAGAGTTTAACAGTGACTGGAAGAAGTATGACTGACAAGACCTAAAGGAGATGGGCCAGGGGGTTTCTGTGGGGAATAAAACATCAGTTTTAGAGTCGAGAACATGGGAAGGACATGGGATTGCAACCAGAGAGCATTTACAGACTATAGGGCCAGCACAAACTACTGGAACAGCTGATGAAGAAAATAAGACAAGGATAAAAACCATTGTCACCCCAGAAAATAGAGCCCATTCCTCTTGGGATCCTGTCAAGATCTAATACTTTTACTTGCTTTTTAGCCTCAGGAAGATTCCCTGGTGGCAAGAATTTCTATAATAGAATAACATGGTGGTGAGAATTATGGGTTACATTCATTAAATAAATATTAGGGATAGCAATTACCTGCCTGTATTAGATACCTCTGTTAAAAGAGAAAAGCAGACAAGAATAGTGGGACTTAAGACCAGAGTTTCCAATTGCTCAGTATTTTTCATCTCTGACTTTTTTATGTGACTGGGGATCAGAGACTGCAAGGGAGAACTCTAAGAGAGATTCTATACATGCAGAAAGGGAGAGAGAAACTCTGAGAAGCCTTTTCATTTCTCAGGGCATCTGCTCTGAGGGTTCCTACTGGGAGAAAAGGGAGCATTAACTTATAGAATGGAGCCAATGTGTTTTAATGAGTCTTGCCTTGGATCCCTGCTCTCAAATAAACTTCAGTTGAGTCAGAGAAAAGAGGTCATGAGCAAAAGTAGAAGCAAAAAAGAGATGAAGTGGCAGACACGAGGTGGGGGATTTTGTGTACGCAGGGGTCCAGGATGGCATTTTGGAAACTTGTAGTAGAGTTGATATTTGATGAGAGGGTGTGTGCCCGTAGGGAGCAACTCAGTTCTGTGGGGACTTCCCAGGGATCATCATTTGGAAAGTCCTGCTAAGCATTTCTGACAGCTAGGTAAAGCGCTGAAGTGCCACCGTCTAGTGCCTAAGAGCGTTCCAAGCTGGTCTTTCTTTAGCTTATTTATAATTCAAAAACTTTCCTCCGCTGATGAAAGCTCCAGTGGGCACAGCATTGTTTTATCTTTAATCCCAACCTGAAATAGTGATGAGCTGTTCAGAGGCAAGCTTGCACACCTACATGCTGCACAGTTCCCTGGTTATTTTTAATTTGGTTTATAGAGAGTGTGAGGTTTCGCTAGGCAAAACCCTTCAGTGCTATCTGATATTTTGGGTGGGAGAGTGCCTATGCTTTAGGAGAAGTGAAGGATTAACAAATACAGTTTTATAACCCATTGTTCTGGAAGGGAGACTAATTATCTGGCTTCATTTAAACTAAGCCTTGACTGAATATATTTGAAGTCCTGAATATAACTGGTTAGAAATATGCTAATTTCAAGGTCAGGGTTTCTGATTATCCACAATGCATTCAAGAACTAGTTGTCTAGATAGCCACTTAAGCTGTTAGTTCAGAAGAAAAATCCTCATTTGTTGTTATGTGTTTTGATATAGTAGATGGGCTATGTGGGAAGGTCATTTGGCTCTGAGAATTACAGTTTGGTTTTCACCCCTCGTATTTTACTTCAGTATAATGACTGGTCATTATATTGGCTTTAAGTAACTTCCCATAACCATATGGGAAATTTGAAATATCTGTAAATTGGCAGTTAGAAATTGGGATAAAAGACCCAGAGCAACCTGGAAACCCTGAGCCTTTGGTAAAATAAATGGTATTATTGATGCTTATTTTTGCAGATATTGGATGATGGAGGGGATCTTACTCACTGGATTTATAAGAAGTATCCTAATATGTTCAAGAAAATCAAGGGCATAGTAGAGGAGAGTGTTACTGGAGTCCACAGGTAAGATTTGACATGGATGTACCTGGTTTTATGCAGCCTAGATATATATTCTGATAATCACATACCTATAGAATGCAATATGTTAAAAATCGAAACCTTCTCTGAGGTATTGAGATCTGAGTTTGCACACTTGTGTTTTTGTTTGTTTGTTTGTTTGTTTGTTTTTTAACAATGCAAATAACAAACCTAAAATTGGGAGTTGGGGACAGGTAAGGGAACAAGTATGGTCCTCATATTTTCTAGTCATTGTAATGAATTGACTGCTTGTCCTTTTTAGATGAATTTATTCATTCCATAGATATTTATTTAACTTCTACAATGAGCCAGGAACTTCCAGGAACTGTGCTAGGGATCTAGGTGTGGGCAAAACAGACAAAAACTTGGGTCCTCATAGAGCTTACATTTTTACTTAGAGAACAAGGATTCGGGGTTCTGTTTCTCAAATGAGCAGTAATTCCCTCAGTAAAATTGAAATAATTTCTGTTTACTATTATTCACTCATTAAGAACTGAAAGTATGCAATGGAAGTTTTAGGGAAGTAAATTCTGAATAAGCCACCATCACTGCTTCAGTATAGTGTGATCTTTTTTAATATACCATACCTTTAGACTCTTAGAAGGGGATGAATTTTGAATAAAATACCTGGTTCTAAGTTTTAGTTGATTCAACTTAAAATGAAACTCCTGTATGTAGATACACATATATATATGATGTATATGTATTGAGATTATAAAATTGAGACTATTTGAAAGTTAAAATTGTTGCATTAGAGTGGTGGGATTCAAATAGTACTTAAAGTTACTCTTTGTATAATGTAAAAGGGGAATAAAATTAATAAGCAATTTAAAATTTTACATTTTAATTCTTCAAATTTGGAAGTAGGTCAGAGATTTTCCCCACATGCCTCGTAACTAAAACCTTCATTTCTCAGCTGTATACAAACTTTAGAAAAGTAACCTTTATTTCTTTAGATACACCTAATGGGATGAAACTAGCATGTCTCATGCTCTCATGCCCATACAATATATTTCTGTAATTTGTTATGAAACTGACAGTAGGTTGCAGTATCTCACTGTTTTGTGTTCTTCGTGATTTCCCTCATCCTCAGGCTGTACCAGCTATCCAAGGCTGGGAAGCTGTGTGTTCCTGCCATGAACGTCAATGATTCGGTCACCAAACAGAAATTTGACAACCTCTACTGTTGCCGTGAATCAATTCTAGATGGGTAATATTTTGTTGTCTTTGGAATGAACTTAGTTGTTGAATTGAGGTTCTGAGTTTTTTAGTTTTGGTTATTTCTAGAAATCATTCATGTAGCACCTCTGGATCTATCACTATATCATACTCAGTATTTTATAACCCAGATCTACCATTGCTATCCCTATGACAAACCACATCTATTTCACTTAAAAAATCAGACTAGCCTCTGTCTATTGATGGCAAAATTTTTACTTTGTGACCCTATCAGGCCTGCAAGTCAGTAATTAAAGTCATAAACTAAGAATCTTTGAATGATTTGGGAAGAGGTTCCTGGTATTCCTGTTCTAGGTAATGTTACTAGTTTTTAAATTCCAACCAGCAGGGCGCCTGGGTGGCTCAGTGGGTTAAAACCTCTGCCTTCAGCTCAGGTCATGATCTCAGGATCCTGGGATCGAGTCCCACATCGGGCTCTCTGCTCAGCAGGGAGCCTGCTTCCTCCTCTCTCTGCTTTCCTCTCTGCCTACTTGTGATCTGTCTCTGTCAAAGAAATAAATAAAATCTTAAAAAAAAAAAAAATTCCAACCAGCATATAATTCTCTGGCCATCTGGAAAGTTGTGGTGAGCAAAAAGTCAATCACAGAGACATTTCTAGTCTTTTAAATCTGTAAGGACTGTAAGTCTGACAAAATCTACTTAGGTGTATACCAAATACTATGTTCTTCTAATGCCCAGTTTCTGTCTACACTTGTGTCCAGATAATCCTTCATCCTTGTTCAGAAGTCAGTAATTCCCTCCATGAAACCATGAAGTCGGTTTAGAATATTGCCAAGCCAAATGGTTTCCATCATGTTTAGGTTAATGGAAAAGCTAAGAGTGGGCCTGTGAGGCACATAACTAACGAGTCTGGACCATAGGCAGTTTGCAACATCACAGGTGTTAGAGCCAGAAGGCCTGGTTTGACTGTTGGCTCTATCATTTAGGTCTTGTAATAGTTATTTAGCCTCTCTGCACCTATTCCCTCATCTGTAAAATCGTGACAATAAGTCCTACCTACATCATAGAGTTATTGAGAGGATTAAGTAAGATAAGGTAAGAACCTGGTATTCAACATTAGTTCCCTTGTCCTTCTTTCTAGAATGAAATAAGTTCTGGATTGAATGAGATTTTAAGGGAAGCTTTTTACTTTAAATATTTTTGGAGGGAGGCAATTATTCAATATAAATTCAATTTATTGCTAATTATTATTTCTATAGAGTCAATAGTATTATCAGACAGATTGTACATGTAAATGAATTCTCAATCCATCAGTCTGTTTATAAACTGTGTCTTGTTTTGGTTACATAAAAGTGTTATAGCTTACGTGAATAGCTTTGATGAATAGCTTTGCACCTGATATCTCTTGAGGAAGAGAGGCAGAAAAGCTCAAGAGTAAAGCAACGGAAGCTCATAAGTAAAATCTATTGATTTTCTTTGCTGTGATAACCATTCCAGGACCATTCTCCTAAACCATGACTTTTGAGTATGATAGTAACCTAGCTAGACTTATTCTCTTCACTCAACAAGAAAGCACTTAATTGATATATTTTTAAAATTTAATTACTAATTAATTTATTTATGTTAACATACACTGTTACATTAATTTTAGGCGTATAATATAGTGATTCAGCAATTCCATACATCACTTGGTGTTCATCCCAAGTGCTCTCCTTAATTCTTATCACCTGTTTCACCCATCTTCCCACTGGTAACTTATCAATTTGTTCTCTATAGTTATGAGTCTGTATCTTTTCTTTTCTTTTTTTTTTAATTTTTAATTTTTATTTTATTTTCTTTCAATGTTCTAAAATTCATTTTTTATGCAGCACACCCAGTGCTCCATGCAATACGTGCCCTCCATAATACCCACCACCAGGCTCACCCAACCCCTCACCTCCCACCCTCCAAAACCCTCAGTTTGTTTCTCAGAGTCTACAGTCTCTCATGGTTTGTCTCCCCCTCTGATTTCCCCCAACTCACTTCTCCTCTCCATCTCCCAGTGTCCTACATGTTATTCCTTATGCTCCACAAGTAAGTGAAACCATATGATAATTGACTCTCTCTGCTTGACTTATTTCACTCAGCATAATCTCTTCCAGTTCCATCCATGTTGATACAAAAGTTGGGTATTCATCCTTTCTGATGGAGACATAATACTCCATTGTATATATGGACCATATCTTCTTTATCCACTCGTCCGTTGAAGGGCATCTTGGTTCTTTCCACAGTTTGGCGACTGTGGCCATTGCTGCTATGAACATTGGGGTACAGATGGCCCTTCTTTTCACTACATCTGTATCTTTCGGGTAAATACCCAGCAGTGCAATTGCAGGGTCATAGGGTAGCTCTATTTGTAATTTCTTAAGGAATCTCCAAACTGTTTTCCAAAGTGGCTGCACTAACTTGCATTCTGTTTCTTTAAAAAAAAAAAAAAGAAGAAAAAGGTCTATTTCTAGACATCTCACTCTCTCTCTCTCTCTTTTTTTTCCTGTGCTCATGTGTTTTGTTTCTTAAATTCCACATATGAGTGAGACTGTATAATATTTGTTTTTTCCCCGACTGGCTTATTTCACTTAGCATTATGCTCTTTAGCTCCATCCATGCCATTGAAAATGGCAAGATTTCATTCTTTTTGATGGCTGAATAGTATTTGCTATTTACTGAGTTTCACTGAGGCTCATGGAGTTCTACTTGTTCCTATTGAGGAGTTGTCAAATCATTAAAAAGACAGGATTCCTACTCTTATAGACTGTTTTCAACAGGAGAGGTAAGCAGATAAGTGAACAGAAAGAGTCACAAATATTTGTAGGAACTGTCTATCTCAGAATAGACTGGTTTTAGTCGAGAACTTTCTTCTGCCTAATGAGGGATTCCTAGAGAAGGGACACTAGCTCAACCCAAAGAGAAACCAGAACCTACTGCTACAGGTTCTTCCAAGAGACTCTAAAAACAATAAGGACATTTATTCTAGCTTCATAGAGAATCAGAGACTAAAAAGTAGAGCAGATCTGAGAAAGAATCAGCCCCAGAAAGTTCACTCTCTCATGCAGTCAGTATTGTGCATGTCCAAGCTCTTCTCCCTTTCGCCACCTATTACCCTCTGTGTGGAATTAATGAGGGACCTGTTGTCCCTTCTGACGCTGCTAAATGTAGCACTCACTTATCAGGGTTGTCTTCTACGTTTCTGTCTCATTAAATAAAACAGAATAAGTTTCCATTAAGCTAGAGCTTTGTCTCCCAAATAAAAAATGTTATTTTTATTCTATTTCCAAAAATTATATGATAAATGTATATTGCTTTTTGTTTAAAAGTTACTTTGCAGTCTACAGTTTCTTGCCTTCTGCACCACTCCCGAGACAAGAGGAAAAAAGAAAAAAAACCCTCACCTGTAGCTGGAATTGATCGGATAGCATGGAGTGAGAAAATACATATTTCATTCAACCTTTTTTTCTAGTCATTGGATAGCACAGAAACCAGACTTTCTTTCAGAATGGAACAAACAAATAAACGTGAAATCAAAGGTACCCATTCTAATCTTAAAGGAGAAATGAGAGAAGATTTTTCTGATTTAATGGCTTTTCTTCCCCTAGACTTAAAAGGACAACAGACATGATGTTTGGTGGAAAGCAGGTGGTGGTCTGTGGCTATGGAGAGGTAAAGCATAACTTTTCACTTACTAGGTGTATAAAATATGATTTTGTTGAAATATACCAGATTCTTTTATTTAAGGGATGTGAGAGTACATTCACTCACCACTCTAGATGGGAAAAAAAGTAACTTTAGAGGCCCTCTGGTTTCTTTTTTCCTTTGCCTTTTTGCCATTTTTTCTCGTTGATTTTCTGACTTGTTCCAGCACCCTGTTTATGATGTTCTCGTAGCTTGTGTTTTGATTATAAATCGTGAGTGTGGGTGTTTTTATGTACGTGCACGTGCTGAACGAGAGTTAGGAGTTTGTTTATGAACTGCATTCATTTATTTGTTTTTTCTTGTTTTTCCCCAAGCATGAGTCTATTCAGTGAAATTGCTTTTGGGGGCGGAAAATGGGGTACAGTTCACCAGAAGCTTTGAGATGTTGTTTTCTCACTGACTTTCTTTATTATGTGTACTCTTTCCCCTCTTCAGGTGGGGAAGGGGTGCTGTGCTGCTCTAAAAGCCATGGGCTCTATTGTGTATGTAACTGAGATCGACCCCATCTGTGCTCTTCAAGCCTGGTAAGCATGCAAAATGAAACTCGCTTTTTCCTCTGTGCCACCTTCTATTGGGATCTTGTAACTGTCACCAAGGAATGGCCTGATTAATAGCACATTTTATCTTAGAGGGGCCCAGATCCTGAGAGATGGCTGCTGTTAACCGTAAGCTTCCCTCTTCCAAAGATCAAGGAGCTCTGCTCTGAGAAAGCAGAGATTATCAGAGAAGCTAAAATTTTGAATTCCTGTGGAAATCATTAGAGGGAATGACTTGAGCCAAAGAACAAGTACCTCCTTACCTTCTCCAAATATAATCCTCCCTTTTTTTTTTTTTTAAAGTAAGTTCTATGCCCAATGTGAGGCTTGAGCTCATGACCCCAAGATCAAGAGTTGCATGTTCCACCAGCTGAGCCATCCAGGCACCACAACCCTTCTCCCTTTGAAAACAATGATCAAAAAAGAAATAAGTTGGCATCAGATCCTTTTTGATGTGATACACCGAGAACACTTCTGTGATACTCTTTTCCTAAATGTATGACCTGAATCTCCTCAGGAGGAAACATCAGGCAAATCCAAATAAAATCTGCTGTCTCTGAGTGAAGGGTATAGGGGAGTTTGTACTATTTTTATAATACTTAACTTTGAAATTATTTCTAAATTAAAGGTTAAAAAATAGTTCCTGTCTCATCCATAATTTCCCCAGTAGATTTGTTGGCTTTCTCTGAATCAGGGTTCATTAACATGTTTTAATACTGATTGAGACAATGATTCAGATTCTCTTATAGACATGAACTGATCACTTACTGTATAATAGGTGCTGTGCTCTGTGCTTAGGATGAATAAGATGAATATACGAATGAGGCAAGGTCCTGCTTTTCGTAGTACACAAAAAACCAACGTGAGTGGAATAAGTGCTCTGATGGGGGTAAACAGTACATGGTCCTATGGGAGCCAAAGGAGAAGCACCTAACTAAAGAGCAAAGGGGCAGGGTAGGAAGAGATGTCAATAGAGCTGAGTCTTGAAACTTGTATAAGACATGTCTTAGTTTGGACATAAGTTCCAGGTATAAGGAACGTCACAAGGAGCATAGTCACCGAGGAAGGAGAGAACGTGGTATATTTAAGAAGATCGAAATACTTAAATATAGCTGGCAGAGAGGATAAATTTGGGGGAGTGGTAGTATCTAAGGTAGGAATCCTATGTGAAAATGATTATATATCTGATAAATATTTAGGTCTTATCCTGAGAACAGGCAATCTCACTGAAATATTTTAAGCAAGGAAGTGACTTGATCTAAATTGCATGTAGGGGAATTACTCTGCAGACTAAATTAGACAGACATAAACCTAGAGATGATGACATCGGACCAGGGGCTACTGTAGGAATCCAGGCAAGAGGTAATAAGACCTGAGCATACACAAGACCAGCATATATGGAGAGCAGGGTACCGATTCAGGAGATTTTAAAGAGTTAAGGAAAAACAACCAGATTTGGTGACAACTTCAACTGGGGAGAGGAGGGTAGGCTAGGACATTCTAGTTTATCTGGCTCATACACTTGGGTGAACAGTCATGCTGTTGATCAAGAAGAAAATACAAAAGAGGAAATAGGGTTTAGGAGTACGGAAAAGATAATGAGGTTTTGTTGAAACCCAATAAATTTGATATTTTTATGGGACATCCAGGAGAAGCTATCCAATAGATAATTTGATCCAAGGCTCTGAAGCTTCAGAGAGCACTAACCTAAAGATAGATTTGTGCAAATCAGCCAACAAGAAGAGTCATTTACAGCCAAGGGAAGGGTATGGATAAATACTGAAAGAATAAAGAAGAGAGTCAGGGCAGAACTGTACAGATTACCAGCTTTTAAAGACTGAGTAAGACTGAAAAGGAATAATCAGAAAAGTGGGAGGAAAACCAGGAGAGAACAGTATCATGGACTCTAAGGAGTATAGTTTTAAGAAGGTAAATAATGTTTAATGCAGGAAATTAAGTGATGTAAGAGTCTAAGATTTGTTTATTTATTTATTTATTATCCAGAAGATTGTTGATGATCTTGGGAAAAATAGTTTCAATGGGGTAAGATTCAGTGGCTAAACTGCACTTTCTATGAACTCAGTTTAGGAAGCTCATGGTAACCCCTAGGTCTCTGTTTTCAGGAAGAATTAATTTGCAGTGATGCAAAGAAACGTTTACTTCTGTCCTGTATGAACTTAAGGAGATGGTTTGAATTTTTCACTGCTAAGAATAATCTAGCTATATCAAGAAATGACATTGCAGGTACTGAAGGAACTTAGTGATAGCTTTTGAGGTTCTGTGGCAAAAGCCTCCCAATTGCCTTTGTTAATTGATCATGCTTTATTTTTACAGTATGGATGGATTTCGACTGGTGAAATTAAATGAGGTCATCCGGCAAGTGGATATTGTTATTACCTGTACAGGTATGATTTTGACACGGACAGTGGAATGGCACTTGGGAATGCTTTAATGGAACAAGTGAAAAATGACCAGAAATGTTCTGAATAAACCAAACTCGAAAAGCCAGATACAGAGGTCTACAAAACCAGTCAGTCTTTCACGTTTTTCCCACCTCTTTAGAACTCTGACCAAAAGTATATACCATCTAGGTCATCCCTAGAGGAAAGTTTCTCTTTAACTGTTCTGTAATTACCACGAAGATGGCTGGAGATAAGTTTTATTTCGGAAGCCAGATCTTATATTTGTACATTTGATTTTTTATTCTACTTCCAAAAGTAAAGTATATTTCTCTCTAGTCTCTGTAATTAAAGCAGGCCTAGAGCAAAATTCATAGTTAGAGAAAGTGGGAAACGTAGTTGTATTAATTCCCAAGGAAGTAGATTGGAGTTTTAGAGAGGAATATGCAGAAATGGCTAGTTTCCTTGGGCTGAGATACTTTGTCTTTATGGTGGGACCATAAATGCTAGAACACTGGTTTTTATTTGTAATTATATTTTAGAGGAGGAAAATGAGAATATTTAAGAATAAAAATACATTTGTAGCCTCAGGGTGAGATGGGGGCAGAGAAGAGGGACCATAGGAAACTGTTCTTGCTTCGCATCAACCCCCTTATGTCTTTTTTTATAGCTTTATTGAGATATGATTCAGAAACCATACATTTCACTTATCTTAAGTGTTTCTTTCAGTATTTTCTAGCATATTCACAGGGTAATATAACCATCACCACAATCTAATTTTTTTATTGAGATAATTCACATACCATAAAATTTATCCTTTTAAGTATATAGTTCGGTGGTTTTTAGTGTTGTAGAATGTCTGATTCCAGAAACTACACCACCCCCCAAAAGAAATCCCATACCATAAGCAGTCAGTCCGCCACATTCTTTCACTCTACCTTTCTTGAGCTCTATGCAACCATTAATTTCTCTGTTTTTATAGATTTGTCTATTTCATATCAATGGAATCATACAGTATGTGATCTCTTGTGACTAGCTTTTTTTTTTACTTAGCATAGTGTTTTTGAGTTTCATCCATATGGTAGTTATGTGTTGATATTTCATTCCTTTTTATTGGTGAATTATATTTCATTTTAAGGATATACATTTTGTTTATCAGTTCATTGGTTGATGGGTATTTGGCTTGTTTACATTTTTTGGCTATTTTGAATAATGTTGCTGTGAACATTGTGTACCATGTTTTCCTGCAAACATGTTTTCCATCCTCATGAATATTTACCTACCTATATATACCTAGGAATTGCTGGATCATATGATGATAACTCTACTTACAATATTTTGAGGAATTGCCAAGCTTTTCCAAATAGGTGGCACCATTACACTCCCACTAAGAATGCATGGGGGTTTACAATTTCTCCACATCCTTGCCAACACTTGTTATTATCTGTTGTATTTACTATAGCCATCCTAGTAGGTGTGAAATGGTGTTTTATTGTGGTTTTGTTTTTTAAGTATTTTTATCCAAGTAATCTCTACACCCAGTATGGGGCTCAAACTCACAACCCCAAGATCCAGAGTCACACGCTCCACCGACTGAGCCACAACACCCCTCATTCTGGTTTTTGACTTGCATTTCTCTAATGAGTAATAATGTTGAACATCTTTTCATGTGCATATTGACACATTTTCTTTTGTACTTCTTCTTTTGAGAAATGTCTATTTAGATCCTTTGCTCATTTTTTATTTGGGTTGGTTGCCTTTTTATTATTGAGTTGTAAGGGTTCTTTTTTTTTTTTTTTTTTTTTAAGATTTTATTTATTGATTTGACAGAGAGAGATCACAAGTAGACAGAGAGGCAGGCAGAGAGAGAGAGAGAGGGAAGCAGGCTCCCTGCTGAGCAGAGAGCCCGATGCGGGACTCGATCCCAGGACCCTGAGATCATGACCTGAGCCGAAGGCAGCGGCTTAACCCACTGAGCCACCCAGGCGCCCAGTTGTAAGGGTTCTTAATAAATTTTAGATACAAGTCCCTTATCAGTTATATGCTTTGTAAATATTTTGTCCCATTTGTGTGTTGTCTTTTCAGTTTCTTGTTGATATCATTTGCAGTACAAGTTTATTTTTTCTTTGGTGGCTTGTACTTTAGGTGTTATATAGGTGTTATATCTAAGAAACTGTTGCCTAACCCAAGATCACAAAGATTTATTCCTTTGTTCTAAGAGTTTTATAGTTTTAGCTCTTATATTTAGATCAAGTAAAATTTCACATATGGTGTGAGGTAGGGGTCCAACTTCATTTCTTTTCGTGTGGATATCTCTTCTATTTTTAAGGTAACAAGAATGTGGTAACCAGAGAGCATTTGGACCGTATGAAGAATAGCTGCATCGTTTGTAACATGGGACATTCCAACACGGAGATTGATGTGGTAAGATTAAGAAACTTGTTATTGGGGGCTTTTTTATCTCTCATTCCCAAGAAATATAAACTGGAAGAGGAAAGAGAAGAGTCACCAGCCATCCTAAACGTGACTGTCCTAGCAGAGCTGTCCGCAGTCTGTTCACTTACTAGCCCTATGACCTGTGCTTGTGGATACCATAAAGCTCCTTCATCTCAATCATTTCAAAAGATTATTTTCTTCCACTCCAGCTTGATACCTACTTACACTGTAAGCCATTTTATCTCTCACTTTGGTTCTCTGATTTGATTATATTCACCCTAAAATTATCCAATCCAACATAACACTCGATCCTACTACATCACCCAAGTAATAGTTAAGAGAAGCATTATTTCTTTCTTTTCAGACTTACCAAAGTATCTTGCAGTGTGACTTTCACTCTGGTTTTAAATTTCATGGCATTTTTCTGGCACAGCTGTATTTCTCTCTGGGTAAATGGCTCAAGCAAAGCATGCTTTCATCTGCCCTGAGGGCTGCTCTGATTGAGCTTTAGCACTGCCAGGTAAGGATCAGTTGATATATTGAGAGTCTGTTGGATAATATCTATTTTAAATGGTTTCTCTTTTTAACTCTGCTCTATTCTTCTGGTATGAAAAATAGCTGGAAAAACAACCTAGCAAAGCTTCTTCCTACCCTTGAGGTTTCTGAGTGGCATGGCTCCATTACTCTTGTCTTATCAGGTTATTTTGCTTACAATGAATAATTTTGAATAATTTCTTTTTTCAATATTGAAATTTAAATACTGAATGGTTCTTTTGTTGTTGTTGTTGTTAAGTTTCACTTATGTGACATACTGCCCTTCTACTAAATAGTCAAAGATATTAGTATTTCTAAAACTATCTAGCACATGATTATCCTTTTCTCAATTAATCTGCTTAGAGAGCCCCAAAATGGGAAAAAGTTAAGGAAACTAGTCATGCTCTGATATCTAAAGAGAAATCTTCTGAGTAAGAGAAGGGGGAAGGAATTTTCTTTCCTAAACCCTCCAGCTCTTAAATAAATACAATCATGTAATTTTTATATTTTTATCTTATCTCATTTCATCCTCTTGACTATCCCATAAGGCATTATTCTTTTCCCTGATTTTCAATCAGAAAACTAGAACTTAAGTCCATTGTTCAGTCATTGATTCAAAAATTAAATGGGAGTACAAAATTTAGGCTTTTTTTTTTTTTTTTACTTCTTGTCCAGTTTTTGTTTTGTTTTGGTTTCCTGTACATTGTACTATTACCTCCTCGTGATTTCTAGGTAAGCTTCGATTTGTGATGGCTCTCTCTCCTCTAAAGCAATCCAGACATAAGTAATCCCAGGATAAAGGCCAGGACATTATACCTTCAATCATAAATATTTATTGTGTGATTGCCGAATGCCAAGTGCTGTTCTAGATTTGTGGAGTCAATGAACAGAACAGGCAAAAATTCCTGCCCTCAAAGAGCATACATTTTGGAGGAACTTGAGTAGCCATGTGGATTTTTAGGTGAAGAACATTTTGTGAACAGCCAAAGCAAATGCCCTGAGGCAAGAGTGTGCCTAGTCTGTTTGAGGATCAACAATGAGGCCAGTGTGGTTGGAGCAGAATGAGTATGGGGCAGATTAAGAATGGAAGGTGAGGTCAAAGAAGGAATGGACCAGATCTTATGGGGTCTCAGAGGCCATTATAAGAACTCCTGATTATATTCTGAGAGAAATAGGGTACCATTGTCAGATTTATAATAGTCTGACTTCCATTTTAAAAGGATGACTTTTATTTTAAAAGCAAAAGGATCACCCTGGCTGCTATGTTGGTACTAGATAGCCCTAGTTTTGCAGGTATTCTAGGTAGTTTCTGGTATCTAGCACCGACACTAGCCAAGGGCCATGTCTTAATTCTCTTTGTGCTTTTCTTAGCAGAAGGTATATGACTAAACTAAATGGTCCAGAAAGGGAGAGGCTCAGAAGGGCTTCAGAAAAGTTAAGTTACTTAGTCTTTGATGGTAGTGTCACAGGACATAGAAAATGAAATTTAAGGAAATAGCAAACTCAACTAATAACTGAAATCACAATGTTCATTCACTGTTTAATTTGTATTGAATAATTGCTCTGTTCTGTGCTGAGTATTTATTGGCTGAAGAAATAGTGAAGAACGTCCCTGCTCTTGTGGCACTTAGATTCTAGTGCAGGACACAGACAATAAACAGATAGTTTCATCAGTTAGTGCCTAGGATTGAAGAAAGACAATAAACAGATAGTTTCATCAGTTAGTGCCTAGGATTGAAGAAAAACAGCAAGGTGGGGTCATTGAGAATGATAATTTAGCTAAGGTGATCAAAGAAGGAAGGTCTCTTTGAGACCTTCTCAAAGGTCTCAAATGAGGTAACATTTGAACAAAAACCTGAATGAATTGAAGGAATAAGCCATCCGAGCATTTTACTCAGGGAGAATGGTGTGTAAAAGATGCTGAGGCAGAAAATGCTTGATGTTTGAGAAACAGAAAAGAGGACATTGTCGCAGGAACAGAATGGGCACAGGGATGAGAATAGCGGCAGCTGAAGGAGGGTAGTGGGTTATGTAGTTCTTTGTAGGTCACAAAAGGACTTCAGGTTTTATTCTGGTTACCGGGGAAGCTGTTGGAAGCCATTCCACGGGTGCCTGGCTGGCTCAGTCAGTAGAGCACGCGACTCTTGATCTCAGTCGTGAGTTTGAGCCCCACATTGGGTGTAGAGATTATTTAAAAAAAAAAAAAAAAAAAAAAGGAAGCCATTCCAATGGGAAAGTTTTGACCAGGTGACTGACAAAATCTGATTTGTTTTAACAGATTACTCTGGCTGTGATATAAAGAAAACACTTCTGGATTTGAGTAGTGATAGGGACAATAATAGGATGCCCTCTCCATATTTCCAGTGATAGAGAGTGGTAGCTCAGATGACATGGATAAGCCGTGGAGATGATGTGTTGTGAAGGTAAGACAGTTGGGATTTGCTAAATGGCTTGGATGTAGAGAGTGAAAAGAGAAGAAAGTCTCTCTAAGTTATCTCAGTGAAACAGTAAAGGAGAGTGATTCAGTATATTTTTCCAGATATTTTTAGCAATCAAAAATGTAAGGGTTTTTAGTTTTGGGGGTTGGGTGTGTGTGTGTGTGTGTGTGTGTGTGTGTGTGAATTTATAGTTTTATCTAACCTTGAGATGTTGACTGTTGCATTTTTAGAAAGGAACAGCTCATCAAAACAGTTGGGCATTTAGAAAACTGCATTTTTTCTGAGAGATATTAATGCTGTAACACTAGCAAACCTGTGATAGGGATTGTGCTCTTAGCTGCCTTTTGGCCATGTTTTTCTTTCACATGTTTCCTTTTCTCTTGAAAACAGACTTGCTTACCCATATTGCATCACCTAGATGGCCGGTGTGAATGTAAGCTTCACAATTCAAGTGGCTAAACCATTATGTACACATACTTTAAAAGTTCTTACCAGAAAGAATTAGAACCTGAGACTTGATATTGATTCTGCACTTTGCAGGACTAGAACCACAGCTGTTCTCCCTGTAAAAAACTGATATGCACTGTCCACAATCATATACTACCAATTTGTGCAAGCTAATAATTTACTGTGAGATGTATACCTTGTTTGGGAACATAGTCTCTATAAGGAACCTTTTTCCTGGTAGATTGCTTAGTGATTATAAATCAACAGAAAAGACATTGGGATGTTTTTAGAGAATTTTTTTTTTTTTAGATTTATTTATTTTTTTGAGAGAGAGAGAGGATATGTGTACAGTGGGAGGGACAGAGGGAGAAAGAATCTCAAGCAGACTCCATGTGGAGCTGGATTCGGGGCTCCATCTCATGACCCTGAGATCATGACATGAGCCAAAATCAAGCATCAGACACTTAACTGACTGAGCCACCGAGGCCCCTTTAAGAGAAACTCTTTTTTTTTTTAAAGATTTTATTTATTTATTTGACAGACAGAGATCACAGGTAAGCAGAGAGGCAGGCAGAGAGAGAAGGGAAGCAGGCTCCCTGCTGAGCAGAGAGCCCGATGATGCGGGCCTCGATCCTAGGACCCTGGGATCATAACCTGAGCCGAAGGCAGAGGCTTTAACCCACTGAGCCACCCAGGTACCCCGAGAAACTCTTATAAAATTTTGCCGGTCATAGGAAATCCTTCTCTCAAGGAGTATAACTGTTCAATAAACTTACTAGGTTATGGAAGCTGCCTGGACAGTGCTAGAGATAATGTAACTTAGTTTCTCTTCAAACCCTGTTTTAATTGACCTCATGTCTTTTGCTAGCACCACAGCCATTCCAGTGCTCCAACAAAGCATCGATCATTTTATGATGTTCATAAAGTGTCCCTTCTTTGATTCCACAGTATCTTTTTCTCCTAAGGAAGACTTCCTAAAACAGGAGACTCCATGATGAAAGTATCACGGTGTCACCTCTTTACTCCCAGTCACCAAGATTGCATGTCCTCTGGAAGATTAAGAGTATGAGACACTAAGAACTTGAACTATTTTAAAGTTCATCATCTCCATAAAAAAAATACCAGTGTCACCAAGCACTGTCTTTTGGCTCTACATGGTTATTGCCCTCCATGTTGTTATTTCTAAAGGCTAAGGGATTTACCTTTTATATCCTTAACTTCCCAAAGTGGTCTGTTCGCTCAGATTTTTTTTAAACTCTATTTACAGTGTTTATTTATTTTTAAAAAAATTGAATTCTAACTTTAATATTTGCTTAATATAAAAATTTGAGCAAGATAAATATGTTTAAGGAAGGAAGTAAAACATTTACAGAATTGGGGTACTAGTATACTGTTCTGCAACTTTATTTTTTCATGTAACAATAATGAATGGTTTTCATGTTAACACACATAGATCTACTTTTTTATATAAGAATTTCATAATATTCCATTGTATGAGATTATCTGGATTTACTTAGCCATTCCCTTATTAAATTACATTTTTTGCTATTATAAGTAACACTGGATTGAACATTCTTAGGCACTTATATTTCTGAACTTGAGCAAGTATTTCTATAGGATGGAGCTCTAAAGATGAAGCTAATTGTCAGAGATTAGGTACATACAAAATTTCATTAGCTACTATAAAATTGCTCTTTAGATAAAGATTGTACTAAATTATGAAACTTGACATCTCAAGACATTTTATATTTCTCATTGCCTAATAAAGAAATGGTCTAAAAAATGGTCTAGATCATTAATGTTGTCCTAAATATACTGAAATATAATTACATCTGTCTTTCCCACTAGATTGGTAAGGAAAAGTTGATACAGTCCCTGTCCATAAATAGCTCACAGTCTAGTTGAGGAGTCCACATTCTCATCCGTAATAGTGTCCTTTACTACATTGCCTGGAATATAGGATGTACTCAGCAAATGATCATTATATAACTAAAATGTTTCTCTGTTTGTCTGAAAACTACTGTTTGACAGAACCTCTCAATTTTAACCAACTGAGCCAATGGATGGTTTCAGAATATGGACTCCTTTTCTATTTTAGGCATGGCCTATTGGAAGAAGGAAGTTGTTATCTTAAGTCTAAACCCTGTGACTGTTACTTGATTGCTGCTGTTAATAAACTTAACATTTCTTCTCTTGTTCTCGGAATATATACAGAAATGGAAGGAGGGTGAGCTGTTGGAAGCTTTACTCTGCCCTTAAGCATTTCTCTAAAGCCTACCTCCTCACATTTGCACTTAGGTCACAAAGCTTCTGTAACTTTAGGGTAAACCATGGTCATTGAGAAGGTGGAACCTGGGACACGAGGACATGAAGGCAGAACCTTGGGCCCCAGCATGCTATATTTAGGACAACCAGCCTTCTCTAACAAATCCCACTTAGCTCTGATCCTCCTTTTTTCTGTTTCTCTTCAGCACTTACGTATTCTGTTTGTTCTGTATTAATTTGCACTTGTTTGCATGTTGCTTTATAAGTATTTTTGAAGGCTTTTCCCCCTCACATATGCATTGTTTTGTGTCCCCAGCTAAAGTAGGAGCTTTTTGAAGGCAGAAACCATGTCTGTGGTTTCTTTTGTATTTCCCATAGCACCTTTTACTGTGCTCAGCAGAGAGTGGGCCAACACTATATGTTTTGGAATGACATCCTGAGTGATTCCTCCCTGGCTGGGCCTTAAGATTAAATTCCCTGACATGGAACAGTCCTAACCAACCCGGGACAGGTATTCTCCATCTGGCATGTTGGTTGCTTCTTTCAACTTGCTCTTTGAAATGGCTCCCTTCAACATCTTTCCGTCCATGAAGTGGGACAAGTCATGGCTGATGATATGTTTGCTATATGTGTTCCAGGCGAGTCTGCGGACCCCAGAACTGACCTGGGAGCGAGTGAGATCCCAAGTTGACCATGTAATATGGCCTGATGGCAAGAGGATAGTATTGCTGGCAGAGGTAAGACCTGAGACTGGTAAGAGAAATTCACCCCTGACAGGAGAGACTGTAATACCCAGGTTCCCTCCTCCACATGTTCTCCTACATTTTCAACTCTTCTTTGGTACAAGCTCAACTACTTTACCATTGGATTTTATATCTAATTGTGAAATGTCTTTTCACTCAGCAATTAAGAAACTATTTTGGTTCCTTACTTTTCACCAATTATCCTGTCTCTCTCTGTCACTCTACAGATTGAGTCAGATAATGACTATTACTGTGGAAGAATTAACAGATAGAACCAATGCCACTTTGAGTGATGCTTACAAAGAGATAATGTCATTTGTGGGATGGCTTAATCAGTAAGCACAAAGCAGATATTCCTGATGGTTACTAAACCACCTTAGGCAAGCTCTGGGAAGGTCATGTCTTTGGTGATAGATTCCATGTTTTTGAGTGACCATTCCTCTGAATTGAGCCAGATGTGTAGTAGGCACCCAGCTATATATTGGTTGTGTGATTAATACTTCCCTGTCTGGGCCTCTTCTGGCTCAGACTTATTCTTCACTTTCATTACGCTTAGCCTTCCATGTCAATGTTTGGCCACTTTTCCTCTCTTGAAAACTTCTCTTCCCTAGTCTTAGATTCCTGACAGCAATATTGATGTGCCCTCCTGTTCTGACCTTGACAGTTTCTCTTCTTCAGAGAAAGATACCAAAATAACAAGGAGGATAATAATACTTTTCTTGAGTTTTGGTATTCTATCAGTTTTCTTTCCTTTTTTTAAATTAAAGAAACTGAATATGAAAATATGAAAGATAATACTGTCTTCACCTAGGGACCCTTAAATTTATGTTTGAATATCCTCCCTGATCTCTTTACCTTTTTTCACCTTATCCCACCTTCTCAAATACTTTAGGGCATCTGTAAAGGGACTGGATTATTTCTACACAAGAAAGGAGTGTGTACCAGGGACGGGATGGACAGGTTGTTAATTATTCATTAATTGCTTTGATATCAGCCAGCTATCTGGTGACTTATTTTCAGTTGCCCTGGGAGGTCCCATCTAGTAATTTTGGTGACAAAAGCAAGCACCACAGTTGGTTTTGGCTACTATGTTTGAGCAAAAAATGTGGTCAGTCTTCCTGGGAAACAAAATAGGATAGGATAGCATTCTCCAGTAGTCTCTACCTCTTGTATCCTCTGAGTCACCCAGTAGAAATACGAGACTACCCTTGAATTCAGGAGAACCAAACTAAGGAAGAAGCACAGAAATCATCACAGCTTCCTAAATCCAAAAGTATCTCCTCTCACAACGTGGAGAGGTTGCCCTTGGATTTGACTACATCCTTGTTTACAACAATCTTTCAAAGGAATGCCAGTATCTCAGAAGGAGGATATTCTGCTGCAGAAAGTAGAAAATTCAAGAGAAATATGCCCTTCCTTGGCATGAGCCTCAGTATCATGTGACTATCTCTATCCTTTTTGACATAATCCCAGAGATCTTTTATCTGTTACCTTCCGTCATATTTTCCAGAATTTTTAAATTTCACTTAAATGTCAGTCAGTTTATTCCTATTTATTGAACACCTGCTTTTTATCCAGCAATGGTAGTTGGGAGGTATTTGGAAAATGGCAGTTATGCTCGTCCCTCACTCCTGAAAGGCTAGAGACTTTGTCCTAACCCATCTGTGTCTTAACCCTTGCTCTCTAGGGCCGTCTGCTGAACCTAAGCTGCTCCACAGTGCCTACATTTGTGCTCTCAATCACCGCTACTACTCAGGTAGGGCCACCAGATGGGAAAGCAGTGGGCTGGAGAGGATCATTAGACCATCAGCGTTTCACTTGATATGGCATGTCAGCATCCATCTCTCTGCTTTTCTAGGCTCTTGCCTTGATAGAGCTTTACAATGCTCCTGAGGGTCGTTATAAGCAGGATGTCTACCTGTTGCCCAAGAAAATGGGTAAGCATGCGCTCTTCCATCCCTATCCTTACCGAAGCAGTTCAGAGTCAGAGCTAAATGAACTTCGTGGCACTAAATTTCTTATAGATAGGGGGGAAAAATGATGTCTGTATCTTGCAGAGTAGGAGCTAGGATTCCTAGGTTCCCTTCCTAATTGATTTATCACATTTTCTATGTGAGTTGCCCTATTGAAGTCATTACATTTTGCTATGATTTGGTGTACCTGTCTGTGAATTTTAAGGATTTTCTGTCTTAAAGTATCTTATATGCGAGTCTCAAAGGAGAAAAAAATCTTCGCCTAACAAAGAGGACTCATCTTCTACCTTGCGACATCTGACTTACTCCATTTCTAGGCTACATAGCCCCTTTCAGATTCTCCTCAGACCAAGAAGACTTCTCATACTACATCTTCTCACACAGACCTCATTGTCCCAGGCCAAAGGAAGGACTGAATAGCTTCTGTTAAGACTAGTTATGTGGGTGTTTCATATAAGAGAAACGTTAAACTGTCTTGAATTTTTAAAGAACCTGCCTCAAGCACCTGAACTGCTAGAGTGTGTTTATAAACTCCTGAGGCAAAGATCAGGGAATAAATCAGCTTCTAGTTTGCTTTGCTTTAGCCCGAGATGCATAGCGACTGTTAGAAGTTGACATATTTTCCCTTTAATATATCCTTTGGGAGGATATTAAAAAAAAAAATAGGACAGTCAGTGTTTTGACTGAATGTATAATGAAGTTAGGAAGACCAAACAAGTACTTGGAAAATTACATAAAATTCTGAATAATATGTATTCAAGTAATAGAATGTAAATAGAAACCCATAAGAACTTAGGATACTAAAAGCAAAGCAAACAATGTAATATCATTATTAGACATTCCTTTCCAACATCCTCAGGTGTTCATTCTTCTGAGTAACCCGAAGTACAGAGTTTAAGGTAGAAGTAAAGTTTGAGTTTCCCATTTTTTAGTCCCCTGCTATCCTATCCTTTCTTTTAGATGCTAAGGACTATTGCTTCTTTCACATTTCCCTTACCCTTCTGGGGAGAAGGGGAGCTTCAAGGATGAGACAGCTAGCAAGAAAGAAATGTTTGGACTTTAAAAAACACTTGGCTGGAAACTGAAACAGCTACTCCGTAGAATTCTGGGCCCATGAACCAGTTGAGCATTTTTCTTTCAGTTCTGGGAATTAGAAGGTGTCTTTCAACTTTTTAAGGCCTAGCCTGGAGAGAACAGCAAAACAAGAGGTATGAATGTTTATAGTAGGGCTTCTGTGGTCTCTTCCAGATGAGTATGTGGCGAGCCTACACCTGCCCACCTTTGATGCCCATCTGACAGAGCTGACAGATGAACAGGCCAAGTATCTGGGACTCAACAAGAATGGGCCCTTCAAGCCTAATTATTACAGGTGCCTTGGGCCCCCCCAGAAGACAGGGAAGCCCGGGTAGAAAAGAGCTTTCTGCACTGGAATTGGTCTTTGCATCTTTCACATTTACGTGAACTCAGAAAAAGAAACCTACTCCCCTTCATTGCCACCCCCAAGGGACTCTTTGAGGCCTTCTTCAGACATTAAATAGTGTTCCCTTTTCTGAATTTGCCTTTCTCCATTTCATCTTGATACGATTTTTACCTCTTTATGGAGAAATACTGGGCATGACCAAGTATCTGCCCTCATCATACACCCCAGAAAAGTCCCTGCCTCCTTGCTGCTCCATCCCTTTAGGTGGGCCCTTCATGTCCCAGCATTCTCCCAAACTGATAACATCACAGTCTCATCTTTCTTTCTCCCTCTAGGTATTAAGTTCCTGTAATTCAAGCCAGAAGAAATTTTAAGGAATAGAACTCCAAGTCTTTTCTCCACTCCTATACAGGAAAGAACCCAGCAAACTGCTTCTCCAATCAGCTGCCCGCCGTGCTCACCCTATATGTTAGGTTATTTATTTATTAAAATCTAGAATCCTGTGCCTGTTGCCTTGGCCCAGAGTGTGGTTACTGCCCCGAGGGCTGTGAAAGCCACAAAGGACAGGCTGAGGAAGGAAAGCTATGGGGTAATCCTTCCCAGTGCATCTTCTGCATCATTCCCCATTGACTTGGAATCCTCAGCAATGGCCATTTGTCTCTTGTCCAAGTTCAGAAGTTAGTCCAGGGATTCCAGACTCCTTGTTCCCTGGGGTTTTCTGGAATAAATTTCAGCAGCTGCCTTTCTCAGCTTTGGCCCTTCCCCAGGTGAGGCCTTTTGGAAGCCACTGAATTAACATGGCCTGGGTTCCCAGCCTTGACCATCACTATCACTGCCTTCTTTATAAAATGACTAGGAAGGAAGGAATGTTATGGCTTTGGCAAGCTACACCAAGAACTTAGCTATGCCTGTGCTTACTGGGAGTCTCCTTCCTTACTGAAGACCCCTTTCTTCTTGAATATTCATGTGTGTTTTAACACTTTCTGGTTCCAAGAGGAATGTGCCTCCATTATTTCCTCAGCAGCTCTGGTGTTTGTCAGACATTGTTTTTGCCATCTTTGTAACGCAAGTAACCTTTGCCCAGAAAGTGAGGGCCAGCCCCACTGGGATCCATAGTTTTACTTGTTCTTTAACTGAACAGTTTCCCAGGAGGTTCCCTCTAGACTGACACTGTCTCAGAAAAGGAGAGCTTGTTGTGAAACTCTGCTTCCTGAAATTTTCTCTTATTATCTAAAACTGCTTTTGAAATGGAACAGGGAAAGATGTACTTTCCAATGGATTTGGGGGTGGGAGGTGTAGGGCTTTGGAAATGGAACCAACCATTCAGGCCCGCAGCCTGACACTCTAAAGAAGTAGAATGTATTTGTCTCCTGGGAAGGGCTTTGCAGCTTACCTGGCTAAGCAATACAGAGATGACACTACAAACTGTGTCCAGATGATTAAAGCTAGTTTGACTAGTTTGAACCTCCTCAGACATTCATTTCTTTGGCTGTTGCCATTGATGAAACTGAGATCTGGTATCTCTATGATTTAGTTTGTGGTTTTTCTTCTCTACTGGGGGGTATTTTTATGTTCCTGCCTCTTCCATCTTAGGATTCTATATTTCAGAGGTGGTTTCTTGAGTAACTCCAACATTACAAAAAACTAGTAATGTGAGCAGCATGAAATTGTATGTCTCACATGAGAGTTGGATACCTTTTGGAGACTGACCTGTTGGTCTTAAGGGTTTCATTGGCACCAGACTGAGACTGTTTCTAAGAGTCAGTTTGGGGTGCCCCTAGAAATCTTGAATGAAGTGAGTCCCTTTCCCACCTGACCACCTTCTTTAACACTCTCAGGTCTGTTTGCTTGCTTGTTTGTTTTCCCATTTTTTTTCCTTCGCTGGTCTGCCTCATAGTCTCAAGACCAAGGTGACTCAAGGAAACACCACCAGGCCACCCAGCATCATCCCACCCTGATTCTCCTCTCCTGCCTCCACCTTCTTCAGCTTTTCCTGGTCTTCACATATACTTTCAGAGCTAGTCTGGAAGTGACCTTCCTTTTGTAGGTAGAGAGGTGGGCTTTGGGTAAATGGCTATTTGCCTCATTAAGTAGTATATAGCCTCAGCCCATAATGCCTGGTCCCTTAGAGGCTGTATGTCTTAGCACATAGTGGAAAGGTGCCACATACATGGCTATATTCTTTCATGAGGAAGATTGTAAATGCTGAAAATTCCACGAGGCCACTCAATTCTTCTTTCGCCTACCCAGTTCTGAGTTTTGTATTAATTAATTGGATCTCTTTCATATTAGTTAATTGGATACAAATCTTCATAACTCATATCAAGGGCAGATTCCATTAGGCAGGTATCTGGACTCTAGCCCTTTATGTTTTTAAACCAAAAAATCATAACCTGCTGTTTCTCAGTAAAGCCTGGCTCTCTGGAGCAGTATTATTACGTACTGATCCTGACAGAGCATACCTGCCTTGCTATAGTAAAGAGACCCATGGCAAATAAAAAAGGAGACACCTAAGTTGCCAGTGTTGTTGCCCATGATGAGATATTGAGATATTTTCCTCTGAGTTTCAGATGACCTCTTTTCCTTTCTCTCTGGGGACCCTATGTTAGCAACCGTTAAGAAGTAGGAGGCCCAGGCCTCTTGAGTATTTGGGTTCTATCTTAATATTAGAATTTGGTCATTCCCTCTACCCTTGGAACCAGAACAAATCTATCTTCTTCCCTCAAGCTCTCACCTGAGATGCATCTTAGGGAAAGAAGACTAATTATCTGTTTGTTTATGGCCCTGGCAGGTGGGGATACTTACCATTTTCTCTATGATGAACTTGTACTAGTTTTCAAGGTCTTTTTTGCCTTCTTAATGGAAAATCAGGGTGTTTTTTTTTTTTTTTTTTTCTCATTAAAAAAGAAAAAAGGTATCTGGTCTACCTTCTCTGTCTGCCCTCCTACCTCCTCATCCTACCCTCCTGTATGAGCACGGCTCCCCATGGCCACATAGTCCTGCAGAGCTTTTTTGCTGCTTGGCTTTTCTCTGAACAGATCTGAAACTGCTGCTCCTGTGGTTTTCTCAAAATTAACTTTGTCATGGTTTTAAAAAAAAGAAATCAAAATGCATTGTTGCATTACGCTTTTTTAATAAAGGAAGATTATGGAAAGAAAATAGGCAACACCAGCAAATTATACGTAGACGATAAACTAAACTATATATATAATATATATATATATTATATATATAATCATCTAGTTCTCATTGTCATCTTACTGAAAGGAAATAAAACCTCTAAGAATCGCCATTTCTGAGAGGCTCTTGGAAATCTTTATGTCTAAGTGATTGTATTAGATCAGCAATAATGACTATGTAATCTCAAAAGATAAATAAAATATTCTTAAAATGGATTCTTGTCTTGAGAGTATTCCTTGCTTCTGCGAACTATGAATTCAGAGTGAGAGATGTTTCTAGGCAATGGGCTGGAGAGCCTGCTGCAGGACAAGGATGTAAAAAAGCATCTTACCAATAGGCTACCAATAATGTTTAAATGTTTAAACATTTAAATGTTTAAATGGCCTTAGCCTTGGGTCCCTTATTCCATGGTGGGCCTTTCCACTAATAACTACCCCCCAACCTTCCCCCTGGTTATGTGTGTAAAGAACCTGCTTTCTGGGGCACCTAGGTGGCTTGGTCGTTAAGCTTCTGCCTTTGGCTTAGGTCATGATCCCAGGGTCCTGGGATCTAGCCCCAGATGGGGCTCCCTGCTCAGTGGGAAGCCTGCTTCTCTCTCTCCCTCTGCCCCTCTCTGACCCCATGTTCATGCTCTCTTTCTCTCTCTCTGTCCACACCCCACCACATGCACACACACTCTCTCAAATAAATAAATAAAATCTTTAAAAAAAGAAAGAAAAGAACCATCACCCTGGGGAGTTGAGAAGTGTAAGCCTAAGGCAGAGAAATATCTGGTTCTAGGTTCCCCCAAATCCTCTGTGTGCTACCTTTAACGAGAGCACAGGAAGCCAGCCAGCATCCATGGTTTAGGATTAAAAGGCCCTGACACCCAGAACCTGACCACATCCAACCGAAGGGAAGAAATAATCCGGCAGAAATTTGTCTCCAAGTCAGCTTTTGCCTGGCTAAATCAGTAACTAGAAGATTGAATCCAACTGTCTCTTCCTTCTAAACTGCCAGTAGAGTGGCCATTTTTGAGTAGCTTTCTGATAGCCACCTTTCTTAGTTGACAACCTAACCTAGTTCTTCCTGTAGGCAAGATGTTTTCTTCCCTCTCAGAATCTTCTGCTACTTTTGACTTGTGTTTATCTAAACTAAGAGCTAAAATAGTCTGGGCAGTTGGTAATGGCTCAAAGCTGGTGCCATGCCAGTTGAGGAGAAAGAGAAAGCAGCGGCTAGCAATGAAGCCTGTGAGCCAGCTGGCAGGTTCACCCCCTTAGAGCAGGGCTTGAGTCCTCCTCTGTAAAAGATGGGACTTGGATGCCTGGGTCTTAGTTTCAAACTCAGGGTAAGCCCTGACTACCCACTGCTGTGAAATTTCTCTAGCTTGTGGTCTGTATGGAAAGAGATTATACTTGGAGTCAGGCTCACTTGACTAGCATTTCCATTTATAAGTTGTATAATTTATGTATATAATAGAACCACTCGGAGCCTTAGTTTTCCTGCCTATGAAATGGTTAATCCTTGTCTCCTAGGGCAAGGATTTAAACACCTAATTTAATTTTTAAAATGCTGCTTAAAAACCTGGCACACACCATGTGCTACATAAACATCAATTCCTCATCTCAGTATAGCTTCCCACAGCCTCTGTTGCCTGTGCCATTGATAGGAGAGGAAGATACTCTGTCCTTTTTCTACTATATCATCCTGGCTGCCCAATGTCATCCAAAATTGAGTATTGTAAGACTTTCTGCATCTTATTTTTAAGCTCCCTCTGTAACAGGTGCTATCTATTTAATCTAGTATCTGACCTCCATGGATTAAAGTCAAGCACTTATATGGGGAAGAGGATATGTTTAGTCCTTGTAACTATACCTATTTATACCTCCAACCCTTTGCCACCAGCCCCCAAATGCCTGAGTTTTGGGACAAGGAAAAGTGGTAGAGTTGATTTAAAAAAAAATAACAGCATTGGAGCCATCTCTGCAACGTGGAAAAACTTGTAGACTAGCCCCTCATTAGCTTCCAGCTATATATGTGGATGCCTCTGTGGTCATTGGTTACTGATGACTACCACATCTTTGTTGACAAATAAACTTAAAGAAGTTCAGTGTGTGCTAAGTCCATGGCCTATAGTTTCAAAGTTCTCAGTTAATCCGTGGTTTCTTGTTACTTCTTCCAGGAATTGTTTTCCAGATCTCGTAGTCCTTATGACAACCTCTGAAAGTCTGGGCCTATAAGGAACAGACAAATGTCTGATCTCTACTGTTTCCCATTCCACTGAGGTGTGGGAAAGATAACAGACCCAGGTCTCTTGTGTTGATTTTCTGCAATCTCCCTAACACCAGTTTTTCAAACCCCTACTCTGAAAATGAAGCCAGATGGAGCTCCAGGCTCAGCAATTGGCTTTGCATTGAGGCCAGAGGGGACTTGAAAGCTGTCCTCAGTCCTACTCCTTATTGAAGCCAGTTTGAGGCTTTGTTCCTTTGCCCAAGGGTTAGACTGGAAAAGGAACAAAGCCTCAAAACTGGCCACTCCTATCTGCCACCCCTGTTTGAGAATCCTGCTGATTGACTGGGCCTACAAAAGAACTATGAAGTTCTGGACCTGTCAATCCTAGAACTCTTAACTGCTTAGGAGAACAGGAATTGGGAAGAGGAAGACAGAATAATTAATTCTTTTATTAAGAAACGCCAATGGGCTGTGCTGTGGCAGTTTTACCACATTGCAGCAGTGATGAGCTAGGCGTGGGTTGTGAATTTTAAAGCAGAGTGTGAATCTTAGAGTTTAACAAATTATACCCTGAAAAAAATTCCAAAATCAAATAGTTTAGGTGTTGAGCCATGGAATTCCTTGGAAATTCATATCAGTTCAATTATGTTAAACCAGTAGATCTCAACTGCAGAAGATTTTGTTCCTCAGAGAACATTTGCAGTATCTGGAGACTCTTTTGGTTGTCACAACTTGGGGGAGGGTACTAATACTGACAAGTAGTATGGAGAGGCCAGGGATTCTGCTAAACATCCTACAATGCATGGGACAGCTCCCTACAACAAATAATTTTTCAGTCAGTACTGCAGAAACCCTGTGTTAAACATGCCTATATGAGGTATACAAAATGAACAGAACTTGGCCTTACTTTGAAGGAACTTATATTCAGGTTGGGGGGGAATGGGAGAGGAAAGGGAAGGTGATTGGGTAGACACAGTAAGGAAATGTTGGGGATAGGAAAGAAAGGAACTGAGAAAGCTCTAAGGAGTTCTCTCTTTTAACTCTGCCGTGATCTGTCACCTACCAACTAGCAGAAGAAAGTACGAGGGGGAGATATGGTTAAGAAAGAAAAAGAGTTGGGGTGCCTGGCTGGCTCAGTTGGTGGTGCATGCAACTCTTGGTCTCAGGATTGTAAGTTTGAGCTCCACGTTAGGTGTAGAGATTACTTAAAAATAAAATTTTAAAAAAAGAATTATTAAGAAAAGAGAGTTGCCCCTAAGATATAGGAAGGCGGAAATTCCTTTGAGCCTCTTACTTTGAGGATATAGTAGAAAATATAAGAATTTTGAATCCAAGCAGACTTAATGTGACACAATACAACCTGAGTGGGTTGAAAGGGTCAAAGGAAGGCTTTCTGGAAGCAGAGGTAATAACAAAATAGAATCCTCATGGAACAATAGAGGTTAGCCAAGAGCAGAAAGTTTTTTCCAGAGAGAAAGAACTGCAAAGACACTGAGACAAGATAGAATATGATACCTTGGGAACTGCAAGGAGTAAACTCTGAGTCCTGGTTTTCTCAATAGTAATACAGGATTAGTGAAAACAGCCTGTCAGAATGAAGTACCATATGATATCTGTGCCATGCCTGGAACAAAGTGGCAGCTCAACAATTCCCCCAATCCCACCCATATTGTTTCACCCATTCCCCTCAGGCTGCTTGTTTGGGACTTCTAATTACCAACACAGACAGCCTAAATGTTTACAATAAACCGTTTTTTATATAAATTCAGAGCGGCAGACGACACAGCCTCCTTTGTATGGAGCCCTTAGGAAGGATCTTAGAGAAACGAAGGAAAGGACTGGGGAGCAGGTGGGAGCTTGCTTTCCATTCAACATTTCTCCCCAGCTAACACCTGAGGAAAGTGCCCCACTTCAGAAGAGAAAGACAGATGACCAGGAGTAGCTCTGAAGGGCTCCAGCAATTTCAATGAAGCCTCACCCCACCCCTCAACCCACCATCTCCCAGCCAGGCCCTCGCTCCGGGCGGGATGAATTCTCGAGAAATCTGAGAGAGAGCGGGTCCCTGGTTTCCTGCGGTGTCCCTGGCCACCGAGCAGTGCTATGCCTCCCCTGCAGCTGACACCGGACTTGGGGCGTAATGCGGGAGCCGGGAGAGAGGTCCGTGATAATAGGGAAAGGGAGACTGCAGTGGAGCAGGAGGCGGAGACTAGATCTCCCCAAAAAGGTCGCTATTTGGGAGGCGGTGAGTGCTGAGTGAGAAGCAAAAAGATAACCTGCCCAGAACTCAAGGCCCAGAATTCGGGAGGTGAAGCGGGGAGCCTACCCCGGAGTCTAAGGCTACCAGCAACTCCGCAGGACTTAAAAAAAAAAGGAGGGGGGCGAAATCCAGTGAATGAGCCCCCCCCCCCACCTCTTCCAAGTCCCGCTTGGAGCCGTCGAACAACCAATTGCGCTGCGGGGCGGGGCTGCGGGGCGCGACCGCGGCCAATAGCTGTGGAGGGGGCGGGGCATGGCTGCCGGCGCGCGGCGGCGGGGTCGCCCCGGGCAGAGAGCGCGGAGAGGCTGAGGGGAGACGCTGACAAGGGCCGCATGGAGGACCCCGTGGCGCCCGGGGCCGGAAGCTCGTCTGCCAATAGCAACGGCAACGGCGGCGGCAAAGGGAAGCAGGCGGCACCCAAGGGCCGGGAAGCGTTCAGAAGCCAGCGGCGGGAGTCGGAGGTGAGGAACCCGTAGAGCTTCAGTTGGGGCCGGGAGACGCCCGCGGGCGGGAAGCGGTGGCTGAGGTGATTCGGCCAGGTCCCCCTCCCATTCCGGAGCCCTCGGTGCTTTAGGGGCGGTCTCCCGGGGCGGGCACCTGCGGGGTCCTCCGCAGCCTGGACTCTGGGCTCTGCAGCCCCTGATCTCTCTCTGCCCGTCTCATACCGGGTCGGGGGCTTCTTAGCCGCTCTGGACTCTCCTCTGGAGGCGCGAAGATGGAGCGCGATAGCGAGCATACTAATACTTCTCAAATACGTATCTCACTTCATCTCTGCAACCCCTTGAAGTGGGGATTCGTGTTTTAGATTTACAGAGGAAACGGGAGCGGAGAGATGGGGGCCCCGAGGGATGGGGGGCAGAGCTGCGCCGCAGAGGAGAGGGCGGGCGTGTGGGCGAGTCGCTTCACACAACCCTCCAGCCCCGGGCTAGCGAGCCGATCCAGATGTGCCCAGTGACTTCTGCGCTTTGCGGTCCCACGAGTGTTGGCAGGCTCTTTAGGGAGTGCCTTCCACGGACATCAGGACCCCTACAAGGAAGAGTTAATGAGACAGGATGCAGGCAGGGGCTGTACAAGAGGGAGCGGATGGAACTGTCCAGGATACAAACCCACAGATAGAAATAGGAATGTTTGGGTCACTTCTTCTGGGGGAAAAAAAAAAAAAAAGAAAATGCTAACTAGGAGGATGAAAGAAGTGAATTATTAGTCCCCTACCCCCTTCATCTAGCCAGTTTGGATATGAGTGGGGACCAGGAGAATAGATCTCACACACACACACACACACACACACACACACAAAGAATAGACCACAAAATGTCAGATGTGGAAGGATCTGTAGAGATCATCTGGTTTAGCCCCTTGTTTTACAGAAGTAAGAGACAAAAGTAACTCGCCCAGGAACATATATCTGGCATAGTGGCCAGGAGCACCAGGCTTTGGGATCATTCAGACCCAGTTTTGAATCCTAGCCCTATCATTTATTCTGTGTGGCTTTTGGCAAATTGCCAAACCTCTCTGAGCTCCATTTTCTTCATCTGTAAAATGAGGTTAATACTATCTATCTCAGAAGGTTGTGATAAAGCCAAATGAGATAACTGAATGTCAGATGTTTAATTCAGTTCAGGCACAAGACCCGTAATTGGTCAGTACATAGTAGCTCATAGGGTCAGAGCTGGCACTAGAAGCCAGGTCTTGCTTGTCCCAGCAGTGGTTTACCATTTGAATAGTATATTACAGTTTCCAAAGGGATTTCATATATGTTTTCCATTTTGATACAGTCAAGTAGGAATCCATTCCATTTTCTAAAAAAGAGAAGGGGAGGAGATGAAAAGACTGACCCTAAGTCACACCACCTTTCAGAGGCAGAGCTCAGCCTTATTGTCTTGCTAGCTAGATGAGAGTTCTATCCACATCATCTCCCTTCCTGCATCACTGTGAACCTGGCCTTTTTAAAAATAGTATTTTATGTATTTATTAAAGATTCATTTATTTCAGAGAGAGAGAATCCTCAAGCAGACTCCCTGCTGAGCATGGAGCCCCATGCAGGGATCTATCACATAACACATGAGATGACCCCTGGAGAGGAACCCAAGAATTGGATGCTCAACCTGTGCACCTCTGAATCTGGCCTTTTAAGACACCCTGTACCTCATTCCCCCATAGAGATATTAAATGTATTTTGGGGGGAGTGGGTGGGTCATTCATTGATTCAAAAATCACTGGGGTGCCTGGGTGGCTCAGTGGGTTAATTAAGCCTCTGCCTTTGGCTCAGGTCATGGTCTCAGGGTCCTTGGATTGAGCCCTGCGTCAGGGCTGTGCTCACTGGGGAGCCTACTTCCTCCTCTCTCTCTGCCTGCCTTTCTGCCTCCTTGTGATCCCCTTCTCTCTGTCAAATAAATAAATAAAATCTTTAAAAAAAAAAAAATTATTGAGCCCTTCCTACATGCCCAGCATTTTTAGGTGTTTAGGTGTTAGGAATACAATGGTGAACAAGACAAGGTCTCTGCTCTGTGGAGCAAACATTCTAGTCAGGGTGGAGAGACAAGACAATATGCAAGTAAGTAATTGGTTTCAGAATGATATGTTCTTTGGGGGAATTAAAACTGAAATAGGAGGAATGCCTGGGTGGCTCAGATGGTTGAGAGGCTGCCTTCCGCTCAGATTGTGATCTCAGGTCCTGGGATCCAGCCCCATGTGTCTCCCAGCTCAGCAGGGAACCCGCTTCTCCCTCTTCCTTAGCCTCTCCCCTTGCTTGTGCTCTCTTTGTCTCTCTCTCTCAAACGAATAAATAAAATCGTAAAAAAACAAAACAAAACTGAAGTAGGAGGCCTTTTCCTTGCCTATCAAGTCTTCTTTCAGGAAAAGGGCTCTGATAGAACTTTCCTTTTACCAGTGAGTTCAGTATCCAGAGACTCAGAGCTTTCCACCTGCCCCACAGTTTTACCTCCTGGTTGTCTGCAGCTGCACTCTTTATGCTTGGAAATGGACAACTGCAGTGATCCTCTCCATCTAGGCTTGTTGCCTGCCAAAAGGCTGGCTGAAAAGATTAGCTTTCCTCCACCTTCCACTGCAGCAGGAAAGCTGCTTTTTACCTTCAGTACATTTCCTATCACCACAACACTCAGGTGCCAGACTTAGATGACTATCTGCCTTTCCTTCCTTCCCTCCTTTTGCTTTCCTGTGGAAGACAGTCCTCAGAGGAGATGGTTTTGTTTTTGTCTTTTCTCCCATCTTTTGTGCTTCTAAAGGATTACTGGAAGAGAATTACTGTTAGCACAATTCAAGAGAGCCCCCTCATCCATCACTGTGTTTGTAGGGGCCACTAGCTGACCTACCCTCTCCAAATGGCTTAGTGTATGAACATCCCTAGGAAAATAGGAAGCTAGAGAATAATTATTTGCTTAATAAGAATTTTTTAAAAAGATTTATCTATTTATTTTTGAGAGGGAGACGCAGAGAGGGAGAGAACAAGCATACGCGGGCGAGCACACACGAGTGGCAGAGGCAGAGGGAGATGGGCAGAGGGGGAAGGAGAGAGAAAATCCACAAACTGACTTCCCACTGAGTGCAGAGCCTGATGCAGGGCTCCATATGGGACTGGATCCCAGGACCCTGAGATCATGACCTGCACCGAAACCATGAGTTGGTGGTTTAACCACCTGAGCCTCCCAAACACCCCTTAATATGAAGATTCTTAACAAAATGATTCACCTCAGGCCTTGTTAGCCAGATCCCTCAGTTTAATTTGTTCTCAGAGTCCTTGACAAAGTTTTACTAGTCTGTGGCAAAATGAGGAAAATTCAGGGAATGGAAGTGAGTTTTTCATAAAATGTAGTTCAATATAATAAATTTAAAGGATGTATGCAATTTGGGGTGCCTAGCTGGCTCAGTTGGTAGAGCGTGCAACTCTTAATCTCTGGGTCATTAGTTCAAGTCCCATGATGGGTGTAGGGCTTACTTAATAAATAAATAAAAGATTATGCAAATTTTTTTTGACTAAACTTTTTACTTAGGAGTGATTTTAGGTTTACAAAGACGTTGCAGAAATGGTACAGAGGGCTCTTGTACCCCTTGCTCAGTTTCCCCTGTTGCCAGTCACTCAAGTTTCCACAGTACCTTTGTCCAAACCATGGAAGCAAAATTGGTCCTTTGACTGATGTAAGGTTGTGTCCCTTGGGCATACTTCTCAGACCTCAGTTATTTTGAGCCTGCTGTGGGCTGTGTGAATTTCTCAGTGAGCCTCATTCAAGGTCTGTCTCATGTAAGGTGAGATTCTGGGCTTTCAGGTAGAAGACCACAAAGGTGTCTATCCTTCTGGTCACATCATAGCAGGGGACATGTGACATCTTGTCACTGGGATGCTGGCTCTTGGCCCTGCTGCAGGATGCATGCAATTTAAAATGGTGTTTTTCTCTTTTTTTTTCTCTCTTTTTTTAAAGATTTTATTTATTTATTTGACAGACAGAGATCACAAATAAGCAGAGAGGCAGGCAGAGAGAGAGGTGGGGAAGCAGGCTCCCCACTGAGCAGAGAGCACGATGCAGGGCTCCATCCCAGGACCCCGGGATCATGACCTGAGCTGAAGGCAGAGGCTTTAACCCACTGAGCCACCCAGGCACCCCTAAAATGGTGTTTTTCAAACTGTAGGGGTAATCTATGAGTTGATACCAACATTTTTTTTAAAGAAATAGAATAATAGAAAATATCTCCATCACATATAGTGATAGTGATACTATTTTGTTTAACTTTTGTTCCAGTTTTTGTGTGTGTGTGTGTGTATGTGTGTTGGGACATTGATGTAAAGTTTATTTATTCTTTAATTTGCAATCAAAACACTTTAAAACATATACTGTTAATGACTCTTTTATTCTAATATTGTGTCCTTATTTTGGGAGTATTAAGCTATCCTTTTTTGTAATATGTATTTTAAAAAGGTTTTTAAGTCTCTATTTATCAAAACTACCTAATGTAATTCCTACTCTCCACCTTTTTTTTGGCGGGGGGCTGGTCTCTGTAACCCAGAAGTATTTGGAAATCTTTGCTATAGTGGATTTAAATATGATTTGCATTGATGGCAGTGTAAATTAATAAAGTGGTTTTGGAAAAAAACTTGTCATATACAAAGAACCATACAAGTATTCATAAGGTTTGATGCATTCATTTCCTTTGCAAGAATCTATCCTCAGTTGAAAAAAAAAGAATCTATCCTTGGGAAAGTTCCTAAATATGAAAAAATTATAAGTGTATTACAGCTTCATGCATATAATACAAAAAATTAAAAACAACTTAAATGTTCAATAATAGAGAACTGGTTAAGCAAACCAGTTGTACAATTAGCTGTTTAAAATGATAGTCATGGGGCGCCTGGGTGGCTCAGTTGGTTGGGCGACTGCCTTCAGCTCGGGTCATGATCCCAGAGTCCTGGGATAGAGTCCCACATCAGGCTCCCTGCTCCACTGGGAGTCTGCTTCTCCCTCTGATCTTCTCCCTTCTCATGCTCTCTCTCACTGTCTCTCTCTCTCAAATAAATAAATAAAATTAAAAGAATAAAATAAAATGATAGTCATAATAATATGAGAAAAATGTCTTTATAATACAATGTTAAAACTGTAAGCACAGGGATGCCTGGGTGGCTCAGTGGGTTAAGCTGCTGCCTTCGGCTCAGGTCATGATCCCAGGGTCCTGGGATCGAGTCCCACATCCGGCTCATTGGTGGGCAGGGAGTCTGCTTCTCCCTCTGCCTCTGCCTGCCACTCTGCCTGCTTGTGTGCTCGCTCTCTCTCTGACAAATAAATAAATAAAGTCTTAAAACAAAACAAAACAAAACAAAAAAAACCTGTAAGCACAGTAAGTAAAATTCAAAGTAGTATAACCGGGCGTCTGGGTGGCTCAGTTAAATGTCTGCCTTCAGCTCAGGTCATAATCCCAGGACCCTGGGATCGGTCTCACATTGGCTTCCTTGCTCAGCAAGGACTCTACTTCTCCCTCTCCCTTTATCCCTCCCCTCTGCTCCAGCTCTCTCTCTCTCCCTCTCCCTCTCTCTCTTTCAAATAAGTGGAATAAAATCTAAAAAAAATAACAAACAACAAAGTATTGTAACCATCCACATAGTGCTATCAAGTGCTGGGTAGTGTGCTAAATGCTTTTTCTCTAATAACTCATCTAGTCCTTATAATGACCTATGAATTATCTTCATTTTACAGATAAGAAAACTGAGCACTTCATTTTCCAATAATTCCCTGACACCAATTCAGTTCTGACACTGACTGTAGTTAGCATAGACCCATAAGTTAAGAGCTCAGTCTCACAAGACTGTCCCCACTTCAGATGCCAGCTAGACCTGGGTCCCCCAGACTATAAGCACTTCAACCTGGCCAACTGTAAATTCAGAGGTTCTGTGACCACTCCCACACCTAACCCCACCATCTCCAGGTTCCATAATTTGCTACAATGACTCACAGAATTTAAAAAACTCTTCTGCTTATGATAACAATTTTATTATAAAGAATACAACTCAAGAATACCCAAATGATGGGGTGCCTGGGTGGCTCAGTGAGTTAAGCCTCTGCCTTCAGCTCAGGTCATGATCTCAGAGTCCTGAGATCGAGCCTTGTATCGAGCTCTCTGCTCAGCGGGGAGTCTGCTTATTCCCCCCACTTCTCTGCCTGCCTCTCTGCCTACTTGTAATCTCTGTCTGTCAAATAAACAAATAAAATCTTTAAAAAAAAAAAAAAAAGAAAAAGAATAGCCAAATGATGAAAGACAAAGGAGAAGGATGGGGTTGGGATGGTACAGAGCTTCCACACCCTCTAGGTTTCACCCTCCTATCACTTTGGTGTACCTAGACCTCATTGTTTTAGGGCTTTTGTGGAGTTTCATTACCTAGGCATGGTTGGTTAAACCATTGGCTACTGGTTGAACTCAATCTTCAGCCTCCTTCTCTCTCTGGGATTGGGGCAGCCCTGAAATTTTTAAAGGCTCACCAGGAGTCACCTCGTTAGCGTAAATTCAAATATCGTTGACTGGGGCTTATGAATTACACTTATTAGGAAATTCCAGAGGTCTTAGGAGCTCTGTGCTTGGAACAGCATTCAAAGACCAAATACATTTTTTATACCACACTGAGGCACAGAGAGGTTAAGTGACTTGCTTAAGATCTCCATATGAGATGACTGAGATTCAAAAATTTTTAAATTTATACATACTAATATATACTGGTAGAAAATAACTCCAAAATACTTAAAGAAGTTTGGGGGGTGGGATCACATTAAAATATTTTTATATAAGATTATAAATTTAAGTATGCCTGGGTGACTCAGTCGGTTAAGCGTTTGCCTTCGGCTCAGGTCACGATCCCAGGGTCCTGGGATGGAGTCCCATATTAGGCTCCCTGCTCAGTGGGGAGCCTGCTTCTCCCTCTGCCTGCTGTTCTCTCTGCTTGTGCTCTCTCTCTTTCTCTGACAAATAAATAAAATCTTTTAAAAAAATTGTAAATTTATACATACAACATCATAGGGAATCTAGTTTTAAAATAACTAGATTAAAATATTAAAATAACTTGGAGTAGAAATACTACCTATCTGACAATCCTAAAGTTGTGGAACACTAGAGCCGAGGGTCTTTTTTTTTATATAAATGAAGAACTATGATCCAAAAAACGAGATTTGCCCAAAATCATACAGTGGGTTAATGACATAGCTGAAATTAGCTCTTAAGCTTTAAGTTTAAGCTGAAAAAAACCTCTTTTGTTTTAGTTCATCTCATTGTTCTAAAAATCAGCTACATGCTCTTCTGGTCCATGTTTATGTAGGTCAGACACAGGCACAGATTGCATAGCTTTCATATCTATTCACAATCCTAACCCTTTACTCAGAGTTTCTGATTTTATATAAGAACCTTCAGCCCTGCCCTGCACTGAGCCTCACATGTTGGCTAGAAGGAAGGTACCTCTTGTATTAAAGGCCCAGAGGGGACTCTCCCGCTGCCTCCTCTATCTAAACTTGGCCTCTGAGAGAAGCAGATGATTAAATGAGAGTATAATCTCCTTTTTCATCGCTTTTCCCAAGTTACTGCAAAGACTTCTCTATTACAGGGCTCTGTGGACTGTCCCACTCTGGAATTTGAGTATGGAGATGCAGATGGGCACGCAGCAGAGTTGTCAGGTATGAGGTAGAGACGGTCTGTGGGGAGTGGAAGGATAGCCAGGAGGAGAAGGCAGGGGTCTGTGATCTCCCCTGGCAGCTTGTCCGTTCTCCACATTCCTTCTTCTGTCCAACCTCCAGCAGTAAATATCTGTTTGCTTTTACATTTCTTTCTGTGAATTCTCCTTTGGCAATAGTATTCTCCACTTTTATTCCATCGCCCTTTTCTGCGCATCCTTCTTTATTCTCTTTCGGTACACTCTCAAATCTGTTTTCTCTCCACCTTTTCCCCATTCCTCCTGTTTCTTTTCCCAAATTCACTCATATCTCTGCATGAATGCCCCCCTTCTTTCTGCCATCCTCTCCCTCTCTCTCTTTGTCTGGATTTTAGCTTGAGTTAAGTGTGATCTCCTCACATCAAGAGCCTCCATGTTACACGTGCTATGAATGCCAGTTATTAATAAATGAGCTTTGGGTGGAGATGGTGTGAAAATTAAATATTCTGTCACATGGAAGTGACACTTTGAGACATTTTTTTTTTCAGAGAAAAGAGACAAGGACTTTTAAAGACATTCTTGTGAATAAGCACAGGGAATAAATTTGTGATGAGTGACAGAAAGACAGAGCTGAGTTTAATAACCAACAAAGGATTAGAATTCCTAATAATATAAATATATTTCATATATGTATACATGTATGTGTAAATATGTGTGTGTAGAGAGAGAAGAGAAGAGAGATGAGCAACCCAATAAATTGTCAAAGAATATGAATAGGGATTCAGAGGCTAGAAAACCATATTATCAATAAATATATGAAAAGATGTTCAACTACATTAGTAAATGAGGAAAAGCAAATTAAAATAATGATATATTATTTCACATTCATCAGATTGCAAAACTTAAAAGCCTGAAGTTGATGAGGGTGCAGCGAAATGAGTACTTTTATACATTGTTTGGCATGAGGAAGCAGAGTACAAAATTGGAAAGCAATTTGGTCATATCTAACAAAGTTGAAGATGCATGCATATTATAACCCAGTGATTCTAGATGTACCCTTTAAAGAACATTTGGGCCCAAGAAAACATGTATAAAGATGTTTATTGTGGCCACTGTGAAAAATTTAAAACCACTTAGGGGAATGGATAAACTGTAGCATATCAATATAGTAGGCTACCACATAACCATTAGAATAATTGATCTATATCAATATGTTCCAATATCAATAAATGTTAAAAACAGTATTGAGAGTGAAAGAAATGGTGACAAGATAATTTATGCATGCATCCAAAAAACTGCTTAAACACACAAACCTGAAAGATATTTCTGAGAAGTCTAGTTGCACACTTGATTGAGAACAGTGTCGGTTAAGTAAACGGATGTGTTCATTACAGTCATGTAAAAAAAAAAAACTATTGAAAGACATACTAAGAATTATTTCAAGAGAAATATATAATATCCTGTTTGGATAAAAACTTTCAAATGCAACTTCATGTTGTTTACAGATATATACATATGCCGTAAAAGTACAAAAACAGGCATGTGAAGGATACACACCGATTTCATTAAAATGGTTAACACTGGAGAAGGGAATAAGATAGACTGGGGAGGGAAAGGGGACTTTAGATGTCTGAAGTAAATATAACAACTGTAAATATTTGTTTAATCTGGGTAGAAGATACACAGGTATTTTATGTATTCTGTATTTATCTGTCTCTGGAAGTTCATGATCTAAAATTTAAAAGTAAAAACAAGAAGTTTAGTACCTAACAGCCTTGTTCCCTTTTCTGACTGGGTTTATGCTGTGCTCTTAAAAAACATATATGCACACTATCCACTGAGCATGAAGAGTATCAGAATCAGAGATGGATTTGCTTCTGGTCAATCCAGGATTCTGGAACTCAGGACTCAAAAGCCCTGGCTCCCAGACAAGGTTTCTCAACCATTAGACAGCTGGCTGGAACATAAGTGAATTTCTCTTTGTGAATTATCTGTGACCTAGTTAAATTTCCAGCAAGGGTCTCAGGGAACAGAGTTTTGAGGAAATCTGTTCTGTCACCTATTGACTTCTCAACTTCCAATTCTTCATCCTCTGTAAGATGAAGGTACATCCTGGTATAATGTTCTGGAGTGTGTGTGTAGGAAAGGGCATTTTTATTTCTCATAAACTCTCTGCATTTTGTATTCAGAGGCTATTGTTAACAAAGTTAGATTTTCTTGGGCATAAGCAGCCCTTTGACATCAACAGCTGCTTCTATATGGTTTGATGCTGTCTCTACCTGGGTGGTCATGGCCAGGAACCTAAACTTCTATACCCTTTGAGGAAATTCAGCAGGGAGAGAATGAACTGGCTTCAACCCCAAAGGGCCATGAAACACATACTCTCCAGCCTTTACTCTGGTTCCTTGAATAACACAAGCATCTTGCCTCTAAATTTCAGACATTGTGTTGCGCCTCTCTTCCCTAGAGACAGGTTAGTCTCAGTCTGGGTTGACAAGCAGAAGGGGTTGCAGCCCTAAGAAACAGGAGTGATGACAGTAAGCCCTCTCTGCTCCAACCCTCCCTGGCCCTCACCAAGTGTTGAAGATTTCCTTCTCTGCTGTAGCAGCCAGCTGGCAGGAGGAGGACAGGTTTGATGGTTTAATCACCCAGGGACACAAGTGGCTATTTTTAACTGCTCCGAAAGGGAGGAGGCTGGCACTGGATTGAATTGGACACAGGAATGTGTTGGAAGCTTTAGCCCTTTCATGCCACCCTCTCCAATCCAGGCCCCTTCTATAAGGGTCTGCTGAATGTTTGTGACTCTGTCCTATCTTTCCTAACACAGAATTGTATAGCTACACTGAAAACCTGGAATTCACCACTAACAGGAGGTGCTTTGAAGAAGATTTCAAGACTCAAGGTGATCCCAGATTCTTATTCGTAGAGACCTGCTTTTCTTCCCCACCCCCCATGATATCCCAGCCTGATCTAGAAAATGCCCAGAACAAAGTATGATTCTTCTTCATCCTCTCCATTACCACTTCTCTAAATCTTCTTGCATATGGGACATTTCCTTTATCTCAAGTGGAGAGGCCATGGAATGGGAGCAGGAGAAGCCTGAGCTCGGTCGGTTTCACTGATATAAGAGGCACAGAGAGCAGAGGGATGGGGACTGGGCTGGTGCCCTGCTGCCTGGTTGAACTCTGTGCCTAGAGTAGTCCTTGACTTTAACATTCAATCCCTGCCTCCAACTCTGCCTCACTCCTAATAGCATCTAATAATAATTTCATGTGTCCACACTGATCATCTCAGACCTCCATTTCCTTACTTGGTCAGTGAATTCAGTTTGCAACTCAGGAGATGTGTGGTGAGTACTGTTTTGTGCAAGATGCAGGGGGCAGGGGCGAAGGTGGATTTGCAGAATCTTCAAAGAGATTATAGTCCAGTGGCAGAGGGGAAGTGTGTACATCACAAAACTAACTGAGGACAAAAGAAAGTGGTAAGTATCAGAAAAGAAGTAAAAGGTATCTTGGGGGGATTGGAGGGGAGGAGTATCTTGTGAGAGAGATCTTCTGGCTGGAGCATTAGTGGGAAAGAGGTAATTTAGTATTGGACCTGGGATGATGAATAGGAATTGGATATATAGGGAGAGAGGGAACTCCTTGAAAAGGCAGAGAGATAGGACAGAATAGGTAGGCTTTGTGTGGAAAATAAAGGGGATATGGAGAAAGATGGACTGCAGAGTGGGTTTAGCCAGAACTTTGGGGTTTCTTTACTTTTCCAATCTCTTATTCTTTCTCAGCTAAATAAGGAAATCTTTTGAGGAGAAGAATTTGTTGGGGGCTGGGATCAGAGGTGGATATGTTATCAGGAGCCTTTCTAGGAAGGGGAGGCAAAAGCTGACACTGGATCTGTATGGCCTTCTTTCCACAGTGCAGGGCAAGGAGTGGCTGGAATTGGAGGAAGATGCCCAGAAGGCCTATGTGATGGGACTCCTGGACCGACTGGAGGTGGTCAGTAGGGAACGGCGACTGAAGGTGGCCCGGGCTGTTCTGTACCTGGCCCAAGGCAAGTGGCCACCTTTGCCAGCTTAAGATAGGTGAAAACTAGGGAGAGAAATGTTATCAGGACTAGGATGAGGCAGGCCATGCTAAGAAAGCAAGGTCGCTGCCTCCCAGGGACAGATCTTGTCAAGTGCTAGGAGTAACCTGATGCTTATAAAGAAGTTAAGGAGATGGTGGTGGGTACTATTCTGGATCCCTTGGAACTGGCCTTTATCTTACCAGGCATGGCAAGATTTCTTATAAAGTTCTTTTTTCCTGCTTGTGGGCTATAAATATATGTGGAGACTTAGTAAGAGAGTCAGTGTGGCTAGAGTTAGTATACCACCAGCTGAGCACGGAGGCTTACTTTCTTCAGCTATGGCTCTAACCTCCACTGAGGGGAGGTAATGGAGTGCCACATATTCACACATGAGCCCTCTGCATTATTTCTCATTGGCATTTAGAGGGTTCACGTCAGCATAGCAGCAGGAGTGGATGCAGTGGGTAATTGGGATCAGAACTTGGTGTGATTAATTGCAAAAACCTTCCCAGAAGAGACCTAACAGCCAGGTATTCGAAAGAGAAATGAGATAACCTAACTGGAATAGTAAAAGTATACCTTGAGATCGTAAACAGAGGACTATTGATAGAACCAAGTAGCTGGGAGCTAAAACAACAATAACAACAACAACAAAACAAAATCAAAAGTATTAAAGAAAATAATAAATAGTAGGAGAGTATTAAAGGGAAGGCTGTAGCAAACAGGGCAGTGCCTAACCATATCTCGTGGGTCTGGTGCTCTGGCCAACTTCCAACTGCTAGTACCTTTAACTTTTTACCTAAGGGCTTTCTCTGTAGTCCATACAGGGTAGGCAGGAAGTGCTAGGGAATTAATGTGCTCCTCTAGTCCAGGAGCCCTGATCAGTGAATGACAGGAATTACTGGGTAAATAGCCCAACTACCTCACCCTTCTTGGGTGGGATGATTCTGAGGGGTATAAAACATACACTCTTTCCCAGAGCTTCCCCCAACCTGGGTTTCAGCTCTTCAGCTGCCTTTTCTTCCCTCTCTCACTTCCCCACTTTTCTATTAATGGTTACTGAGATCATCTCCCAAATAAACTTCTTGCATTTTGAATCCTTCTCTCTGGATCTGCTTCCCAGGGAACTCAAACTTAAGACAGGCCAGTGATAAGCACATTGGACCCGACTCTAGACACTGCCTTATTCGGGGGGTTCTGGAGGGCCCTTGCCCTACCTTTGTCAGCCTAATTGTTGGGCAAGTTGTTGGAAGATAGTCTTAAGACCATGGGGAAGGGTGGAAAGAATTGGATATCCCTCTCACCTCAACCCCGTATGACACTATCTGGTTCTTTAGGCACTTTTGGGGAATGTGATTCAGAGGTCGATGTACTACACTGGTCCAGGTACAACTGCTTCCTGCTCTATCAGATGGGGACCTTCTCGGCCTTCTTGGAGCTACTCCACATGGAAATCGAGTGAGAAGCCTTAGGGAAGAATTGGCCTAGACAACCCCCTTCCTTGGAGTGTGCCTCATGTTTTATGCTGATTCCCTCACTGTAGAGACCTCTGTGGGAGCAGGGGCTCTTCACACCTCAGCCCAAAGCTTCCTGACAGTTCCCCTCTATCCAGCCATGCTCTCTGATATTCTGTCCTCCTCCCTGAGGTTGGACTCATCAACAGCTTTTGCCCCACTCACAGCTTCAGTCCTGGGCTTTAGGGTCCCATCCTAGGTGGGTGCCCTTCTCAACTCAGCCTAACTCTGGAATCCATGAAGGAAACTGTTCTACCTGAGAACATGACCCAAGAGGGATAGGACCAATTTCTGTTGCTATGCCCAATTCTTCCCTCATGGGTCATAGCTCTAGAGATGGCCTTATCTGCTGCTACCACTATAGGGATCCCTTGTTTTATCTCATGCCTATTACCCAGGAGTTTAAAGAGGGCAGATTGAAAGTGTTAGCATCTATTTTGTGTTCAACACAGTGCTAGGTACAGCGTGGATTATAAGAGGAGGGGTTGTCACAGACCCTGCCCTTGTCCATCTTCACCACAGATAAAGGTTTACTGAGATGGCAGAGGAATTTGGTGGGCTCGTTTACCTTAGACCAATTTCTTTTAGCTACATAGCCAGGGAATAGCAGGTACTCACATTTGTGTATATGATAAGTAGGGACATAGGGTGTAAAGAGGCCTTATGAGTTCCTGTTCTCTCCTTCCTTCCCATGGCAGCAACAGTCAGGCCTGTAGCAGTGCTCTTCGGAAACCAGCCATCTCCATTGCTGATAGCACAGAGCTCAGGTAAGTGGAGCTGGCCCTAGGTTTGAAACTGGGGATAGTTAGCAATGGGTTACTCTTTGTCCGAGTCCCAGATACGCCCAGACTACTAGTAGCTGCTAATTCCACTGGGTTGGGCTCCCACAGAGATCATCCCTGAGGTCTCTGACTTCAGGCTGGGCGCTGCTTTGGGAACCTCTTGCAACCCTTCTATAACCACAGGGTGCTGCTGAGTGTCATGTACCTATTGGTGGAAAATATTCGCCTGGAGCGAGAGACAGACTCCTGCCGTTGGAGGACAGCACGGGAGACCTTCCGCACTGAATTGAGTAAGAAGTGGTACTTGAGGAAGGGTAGGGATGAGATGCTGATGGTGGAGGGGAAGCATAGCATCTGCACATCTGCATAGAAGAGACAGATAGCTTTCCTTCCTTTCTCCCTTCCTTCCTTCCCCCTTCCTCTTTCCTAATTAGCATCCATTCTTTTAGGGCAGAGATACTACGTGGCAGGCATGAGGACCTGGCTTGACTTCCCTTGTGTCTATGAGTTAGTACCAATCATGTGTCATTTCTATGCCTTGGTTTCCTTGGTTTAAAATAAAAATAGCCATCCATCTCACATTTCATCATCAGTCTCACATGGAAAAATGAGTTGAATCGCCTTGAAAATACTGATGTTGTCATCAGACAGGGATAAGATATGAAGGCCTATGGGATTTTTAAAATATATTAGACTGATGTGGGAAAGTGAGTTGTAATCTATGAAATGCTTTGAATCCTTCAGCCAAAAAGCAACATCTTTATTACTATTACTTCTAGTTTGGTATCCACCCTCAATCTTGGGAGCTAAGCCATTTTACCTCCATGACCTCCCTTCCTGCCCTTACCCCTGGGGCCTTTCTAAGCCTCCTTTTAAGGAACAAGTACTCAAATTCTTTGGAGGAGGTGAGAGCCTTCCTCATTGTGTCCGGAAGCAGGTTAAAGGGACAGGGTTTCAGTATTCTTATTCTCACTTTCTCACTTCTCTCCCTCCTCTTCCCCAGGCTTCTCCATGCATAATGAGGAACCTTTTGCCCTTCTGCTTTTCTCCATGGTTACCAAGTTCTGCAGTGGCCTGGCTCCCCACTTCCCCATAAAGAAGGTCCTGCTTTTGCTCTGGAAAGTGGTTATGGTAAGTGGCTGACCCCCACCCCCCTCCGCTCTACTCCCAGCTCATCAGATCAGCAGTGCCCTCTGCCACCTCACTTTCTTATAGTCTGATTCCAGGAGGCTGGAGTTAGGCAGAAGAATAGGGCAGCTGTTAGCCAATGGAGGGAAATCATATGTTCTGTGTCAGAGCAGGTTACCTGTTTCTATTGGACTGACAGGAGATGTCACTCTGTGAGTTGGGGTGTCATTGTACCTTCCCATGGTAGAACTGACATTTCATGGAAAGAATACTAGTTGAGAGCTGGGAGATCTAGACTCTACTTGCACTGAGCAACATCAGGCAACTGTCTGTGCCTCAGTTTTTCTAGCTACAAAATATGGGGTTTATTGCCAGATAAAAAGAGGATTTGCTTAAGAAAAAATAAAAATGAAGTCTTAGGGCGTCTGGGTGGCTCAATTAAGTGTCCACCTCTTAATTTTGGCTCAGGTCATGAGCTCAGGGTTGTGGGATCGAGACTTGCATTAGACTCCACGCTCAGTGGGGTATCTGCTTTTCTCCCTCTTTTTCTCTCCTTCTGCCCCTCCCCCTGCTCACATTCTCTCTCTAAAATAAATAAATAAATCTTAAGAAAATGAATCTTTATAAGTATATGGTTACAGCTCTGTTGCAGATTATTAAATCTGATCCTTCATCTCTGGCTCCCACTCCATAGGACTGCCTGAACAACATACCCTCCAGAGCAAGCTTCACAGGGTGGAATCACCTTTTGACTGCAGGAGAAATTGAGTGACTCGGGCTTTATAGCATCTGGTTGTGCTCCTTAAAAAGGGGGCACAATTTCCTTTTTTTTTTTTTTTTTCCACTGGAAGCCCCCAGGAGTCCCTTTCCTAATTTCTGGTGTTGTTTCCAGCCCTGAGTCAGTAAACAATGCTTTATCCTGACCCCTGAGCTCCTCAAACTGGGAATAGTAACTACATTTGCCCCTTCCTGTTTTATTACTTCTTAGTTAAGAAGGGGCCCCAATGGGACTGGAGATTATGGCTCTTCCTCTCCATCCACATTTCCCTGATCTTGTTTCTTCTGACTTTCCTCTTTTCCTCTCCTCTGCCCCTTTCCTGTTTATACTATAGTTTACCCTCGGTGGATTTGAGCATCTACAGGTTCTCAAAGTACAGAAGCGGGCAGAACTGGGACTGCCACCATTGGCGGAAGATAGTATCCAGGTGGTGAAGAGCATGCGCGCCGCCTCCCCACCCTCTTACACCCTCGACCTGGGGGAGTCTCAGCTGGCACCACCACCCTCTAAGTTGCGAGGCCGCCGTGGTTCTCGAAGGGTAAGAAATAAAAGCAGATAGTGGTGTTTTGATACTAGTTGGCCAAAAATTAAGATTCTGAGCTATTCTGGATGTGGTAGGAAAGGGCAGTAAATGATGAGGCTCATCCTGCCTCTGATTGCCCTGTAACCAACCTGAAACCTTGGAGTCTGTACTTTGGCCTCTGTCTCCCGGCTCCACAGGCTCCCCGGCTATCCTGAGGTAACACTGTGATCTTACCTCGTAGATCCATATGTTAATACAGGGTCATTGGCCCAGATCTGGTATGCCTGGGGTTATCCCCGGCACCAGTTAGGGCATGATCCTGAAGATAGGGACCCAGATCACCTGAACAGGGCTCCCAGCAAATCATGTGCCCAGGGTGAGGCACGTGTCATTTTATTGACGGCAAGGTTTACTCTGAGCCAGCCATGCTCTTGTCTGGTCCTGGAGCCAGAGGCTTACATTTAGGAGGTGATTGATAAGTGTTCCAGGTATAGTCCGATGCCTGGGAAGATCAGAATGATTGGTTGCACTGAGACTTGGCCGTGTACCCACAAACTAACCTCCCCGAAATACCTGAGTTCACCAGTTACAGGTTACAGGTGTAACAGGTTAGACAGTAATGTTCAGTAATCCAGTCTACACAATCAGCAATGTAATTTTTTTCAACCTTTATTTTTTATTTTGTAAAGCAATACTCCTTGTACAAAATTTGGAAGAAATATAAAAATGTGAAGAATGGAGGAAAAAAGAAAATCACCCATAAGCTTAACAAACCAGAGGCACTCACTGTTAACTTTTTGGCCTGTTTCTGTCCAATGTTTTTTTCTTCAACAAGGTTTAAAATTCCAAACTTGCTTCCCTCTGCCTAGCAGCAAGCCTCTGTCCTCCTCTTCCTCAGTCAGCCAGCTGGTATAAGCTCACAGAAGGCAAACTAATTGAATGTTCACCTAAGCAGAACATAGTTAGGCAGTAAAGTGCTGGGAGGAAAAAAATCCATGCTTTCTGAAAGCTAAGTAACTGACTTTGGGATTATGTATGCTTTGTTCTCCAGCCAATGACTTGGTTGCCTGAGAGGTGCTTGTCTTGGGATTGGGCCTGGTGGATAGATTAAGTGGGGAAGGGTATATTCTTACAAGGGCTGGGTTGTTACCCCACATATCCTGAAGTCTAGTAGCTTATGGGTAGAGGGTGACCTCAAACAAAGATGCTCAGAGTAAGACCTCTGTACACATTCTCTCTGCCATCCCAATCCCCGCTCAGCAACTCCTCACTAAGCAGGACAGCCTGGACATCTACAATGAAAGAGACCTCTTTAAGACAGAGGAACCAGCCACAGAGGAGGAAGAGGACTCTGCTGGTGATGGAGAACGAACCTTGGATGGAGAATTAGACTTGCTAGAGCAAGACCCTCTTGTGCCACCTCCACCCTCACAGGCATCCCTTTCTGCTGAGCGGGTGGCCTTTCCCAAGGGCCTACCCTGGGCCCCAAAGGTCAGGTAGGTTTGATAATTCTGGGGACCCCAAGTTTTGGAACTAGAATCACTGAAGTCCCAGGGTGCAGTGATCTATGTGTTCAAGTCTCAATAAGCTGGGCTAGAAGTCAGAACTCCTGATTTGAAGTTTTCTCTCTTAGCTGCTTCTTCCCCCACGGCTCTAATCCTCCTCGAAGGGTTAGGAGCTCAGAAACGTTCTGTCTCTCAAGGTTTGCCTTTTTTTTTTTCCTTTTCTGGGAATTGTCTCTCCACTGTCCTCTCAGACAGAAGGACATTGAGCACTTCTTGGAGATGAGCAGGAACAAATTCATCGGATTCACCCTGGGGCAGTAAGTGACTAGATGGTCAAAACTGGCTATAAAGTGGTTCTTAAGGGGCCAGAGGAGTGGGTGGCTGGAAAAAGAGATGTTGCCTGCTAGTTGTGGTGTAACCTAGAGACACTATGGACATCTCCTAATGACTTTGGCCTGGTGCCATGGAATTTTTTTCCTTCCAGTTTCCTCGAAGAACTCTTATGTTCTTAGCTAGGTGTAGGACCTTGAGTGACAAGTCATTTCCCTCTTGGGCTTCAGTTTCATCATGAGAGTGTTGTCCCTAGCGGTCCTTCCTGTTTTAATGGGCCAGAATTCTGTGAAGAAGCAATATGGTCATAATAGATCCAGTCTTCCCTCATATCTCCTCCTCCATGAATTCCTCACACTGGCTAAGCTCTACAAAATGGAGAAGGCCTTATTCCTGGTATTTCACTATAGTTGGGCTATATGCCCTTTTAAGGAACCTACCACTCCCTGACAAAGTAAATGCACAAAAGACTATACAAAAATCCTAATTTTCAGGAACATTTCTGTGTGGCATTTTTCTTTTTGTGTCCTGAAACAATAATGGGGGACCTGGAAGCTTGAAGGGAAAAATCCAGAATACTTCATGTTGAAAGTGCATGGTCCATGTAACTCCAGGGGATATCAGTGGTTCTCTATAGTTCTTTTTTTTTTTTTTCCAATTTAAATTCAATTAATTAACATATAATGTATTATTAGTTTCGGAGGTAGAGGTCAGTGATTCACCAGTAGTTCTCTAAAGTTTTGATAGTTATGATCTGGTATATCTCACATTTCACAGGGACACAGATACCTTGGTTGGATTACCCAGGCCCATCCATGAGAGTGTGAAGACTCTAAAGCAGGTGACCAGGGTGGGCTCTCAGTCTTCAGGGATAGGGAGCCATCAAGGCAAGTTTGATTACCAACATCCTGGTTATTGGCTCTTCTACCAGACACATTCTGTATTTCTCCTTCAGGCATTCTGGCCAAAGAGGAAGAAATTAAGTCTCTTCCTACTTAACCATTTTCCTACATTCAGATAGATAAAAAAAGTTGTCCTTTCTTCCTCTCATGCCTTTTCCCTCCTCCCACCCTTCTTTCTCTCTTCCTCTTCCTCGCTCCTTTCCTCTCACTTCTTTCTTCCTATAGGGCCACTAACTCCCCAAGGCCAGGATTAGTAGCAGTCTGTTCTGCATCGAAAGTATATATGAGTGCGAAGAGTAAAAAGAGGCATCTCTTGATGAGATGAGACCTTGAACTCTCCCTCACTCCATCATCATTCCATATACATGCACGGAAGCATATTCACATGCAGCAAAACTCTCAGGGTAGTGGTCCAGGGGCATGGGACTCTTCTTTACTTCCCCTTGCCCTTTGGTTGAAGATAAATACTTGAGTATTTCTGTTCTTCAACAAATATAGGAACATAGAATAAACACAGACATTGTATATGAAGCACTGGACTCAATGTTAAGACTCCTACCTTCAAAGTTTATGTTCTATTTGGGGTGACAACCCATATACAGGACATTTCCTTATCACTGAGGAAGTTAAGCAAGAGGCTGGTATATACATGATTGGGGCCCTCAGTATCTTTTTTTTTTTTTTTTAAGTAATCTCTACACTCAACACAGGGTTCAAACTCACAACCTCAAGATCAAAAATCATACATTCTTTAGACTGAGCCAGCCAGTCACCCTCCCTTTTTTTTTTAATTAAAAAGAAAATTTTTTTAGTAACCTCAGCCTATTAATTGATGTCTTTTCTTCCCCAGCACAAGTACATCTCCATTGCAGATGTTCAAATCAAGAATGAGGAGGATCTGGAGAAGTGCCCCATGTCTTTGGTGAGTCAAGGGGGTCCTGTGCAGGAGAAAGACAGGAGGAAATCTGTCTGCAGTGCTGTCACAGAGCATATGTGCATACTGTTGGGCTCTTACTATGTGCCAAGCAAGGCAAAGGTCTCTACTTTCATGATACATTAAAGTTAGAGAAAAAAGAAAATAAGTAATTAAGGAAACAAGAAGACAATTAAGAATGGGAGATACAATGAAGAAAATTTAAATAGGATGGCATGATAGAGGCATCTGTCATGTAGGAGACTACTTTCAATTAGGAAGTCAGGATAGGTAGACTTCTGAGAAGGTGACAGTTAAGCTAAAATATGACGTACAAGAAGGAGCTGGCCATAGGAATATCGGGGAAAGAGCATTCTAGGCGAAGAGAATAGCCTTAATGAGGGTGAGAGCAACCTCAGAGTATTAGGGGTAGTGAATGGAGGCCTATGGCTGGAACACAGTGGTGAGGGATGGGGTTGTACGAGATGGAGTCAGGGAGGTGGTCTGGGGCCACTTAATAAAGGACCTGTAAGCAAAGATAGGGATTACGAAGTTGTTTCACAATATAGAAGTAAGCCCTTAGAGATTTCAAGCAGGGGGATGACATGATCTGATTTACATTGTCTAAAACCATTGGCTGCTGTGTAAAGACTTTACCAGAAAAGAGTAGAAGCAGGGTGAAATGTGGGGGGTTCTGTTTCATCAAGAGTTCTATTTTGGTCATAATCAGTTTTAGATATCCATTAAGCAACCATTCACGTGAGCAGCCATGTAACTGAATATATAAGTCTAGAGTTCAAAGAGAGGACTGGCCTAGAGAAATAAATCTGGGAGCTCTTGACTTAATGGATAGTGTTAGAAGCCATAGAACTGGCTGAGATAACCCAGGGAGGGAATAGAGATAGAGGATGGGACCCTGGACAAAGTCTTGGAGTGCACCAGTTGTGTTGAGGGTGCGATGAGTCAGGAAAGGAGCCAGAAAAGAAGAGTAAGAGAAACACTCAGTGAGGTGGGAGAGAATGTGGGAGACTGTGATACTATAAAAGCCAAGAAAAATTTTTCAAGAAGGGAGTGATCAGCTGTGTCCAGTGCTGCTGATAAATGGGTAAGATCTGGTGCCCATTGGATCAGGCTAAATAATAACTGAAAATAACTAGTGACCTTGATAAGAGCTAAATAATAACTGAAAATAACTAGTGACCTTGATAAGAGCAACCTCAAATGAAGAGATGGAGCTTGTAGCCTAGTTGAAAAAGGAATGCAAAGAAAGGAGGTAGATGGTCAACACAGACAACATTGTTTTATTGCAGAGAGGATAGAAATGGAATGTTGGCTGAAGGAGGATGTGGGGTCAGAGGAAAGTGTTTTAAAGTTAGAAGACACTGGAATATGTTTATGTCCTAAAAGAGATGATCTGGAAGAGAAGAGACAATTGCAGAACTGATCCATTCGACAAAGCAGAAGGGTTGAGAGATCCCCAGCACAAGTGGTGGGTCGGCCTTTAACAGAACAAACGTGGTTCACACTTCATGTCAAGAAGGAAGGTAGAGGGGTGTCTGGGTGGCTCAGTGGGTTAAGCCTCTGCCTTCAGCTCAGGTCATGATCTCAGGGTCCTGGGATTGAGCCCTGTATCAGGCTCTCTGCTCAGCAGGGAGCCTGATTCCCCCTCTCGCTCTGCCTGCCTCTCTGCCTACTTGTGATCTCTCTCTGTCAAATAAATAAATAAAATCTTAAAAAAAAAAAAAGGAAGAAGGAAGGTAGAGACCCTAGTATATTTCGTGTTGAGAAGATGAACCGTCTGATTGCCTCTGTTTTCTCTATGAAGTATGAGGCTGGGTTAGCAACTATTGAGGGGTTGTGGGGGTGAGGGGATTGGTTTGAGGACAGAGCAGAAGAGAAGGTAGGAAATAGATTTTTGGAAGAGCAGGAAGGCAACCTGCTCTCCTAAAGATCTATTGCCTGAGTTTACTGAATGCCCATTTAAGCAGCAGTTGAGTTATATGGGATGGCAGGGGCCAGGTCATTCCTCCCTACCTCAGGGTCTCAAGGCAGTGACCCTTGCTCTGGAAAAGAGGTACCTTGTGGGAGGAGGAACTGAACTGTCCAAAGATGATGATGGCCTGAGTAGCCCCACAAATACCCGAGGCCCCGGTCCTCCTGCTCTGATAAAAAGGATTAGATGGGGTCATCAAAGGACAAAGAGAGTTGTGGACAAGGGGGCTGGTCATAAAGGAGGAAGAGATGTAGTAGGGGCTACTGGAGAAGGAAAGAAAATAGTTTCTACTTAAAAGCTTCCCTCCTAATATTCCTCCCTGCCTCTCCTGGCCATGGGCTACTCAACTCCCTTATCAACCTTCTCTGCTGAGTTACCTACCTCTCACTTCCAAATATTCCAGAGCTCTTGGATGGCTTTAGAGTGACATCATAGGAAGTGCTCCTGTGTGGGGTGTCCCAGGCATATGTGCACCCTGACTTAAGCCCATGTGTGGCCAGAAAAGCAGTGGTTTGAGCCAACTCCTAGGTAGGTGTTCTGACTCCTGATCCAGCATGTGATGGGGAAAGAAGGATTCTGTATTGATTCCAGATAATGGAAAAACCAGAATTATAGATTGTCAGGACTGGAAGAACCCTCAGAGGACATCAGACCAGCCCAGTGATCCTAAAGAAGAGGAAACTAAGACCCAGAGAGGAAGTAAACTTACCCAAGGTGATACAATGAGTCGTTAACACAGCTGGGTAGGAACCTAGATCTGACTCCCAGCTTAGCGATCTTTTCATGTCACCCTTCACAAGTAAGAAAACATAGCCTTTGGTCAACTGGAAAATGACCTGGACAAACTGTATTTCCTGCCGTAGGGGGAAGAGGTGGTACCAGAAACGCCATGTGAAATCCTCTACCAGGGCATGCTCTACAGCCTCCCTCAGTACATGGTAAGGAGACAGCTGGGCCAGAGCTGCCCTTCTCTACCCCAGGAACAGACAGCTGAGAACCATTTCAAGCTGACCTGTCCATTATTTGAGCTTGTTCCCTGAGCCTTTGCCCCTGAGGGAAAGCATTCTCTAACGCATTAGAATTCTGAGCTTTCCTCAAGGCTTCTCCAAGAGGAAGGAGGACCTGGCTATACTTCCAAGTCCTTTTTTGGGAAAGGTGGAGAATAAGTTGGGGGTCATGCAGGATGTATTGGGAGCCCTCCTTCTAAGTAAGTACCCTAGTCTCTCTAAGGCCATGGTCTGTCATGTCCTAGAGAGCCTCAGACTGAGTGGTGAGAATGCTGATGGTCAGGGTCAGAGGAAGGAAAGGGTTAGAGAAGGTGAGGATGTGTTTATATCTCTCACCTTATTTCTAGGTATTGCCTCTCTATTCCTGAAGAGCAGTCTTGAAGCAGGACAGCATATAGCTCCTTTCTGGTTCCTCAGTGTCACAGGCAGGTCTCTCAGGACTGGGCACCTGTTTGCCCTTCTGGAGGCTGGGGATACTTGGTTACTGAAGAATGAACATAGAAGCATTAAAACACTTCTCATAAGGCTTTTGAGATGTGGAAAAATAGCCTTGTTGAATGGGATGGACAGAGATGGATCTCTTCATTTTCTACTTCCTAGATTGCTCTACTTAAGATTCTGCTGGCTGCAGCCCCCACCTCCAAAGCTAAGACAGACTCTATCAATATCCTGGCAGATGTCCTGCCTGAGGAGATGCCGTGAGTGCTTCAACTGGGTTGGCTGCTGAATGCTAGCTGTTTTGTCTACAGCATCTCTCTTGTCCCCACCCCACCTTGTTAACACTCATAGGGATTATCTCCAAAGAGGTCTCTTCCCTTTCCACTGCAGTGCTCTCTGTTGGGTTCTTTTTTAGCTCAAAACCGAGGGTCTGCAGGGCAACATCAGTGCCAGTGACTGGTTGCATAGGTATGTGGGTGGACGTTGCCACGTGATGAGCTCTTGCCAAAGCGAGGAGAAAAAGAGCAAAGGAGCTCATAAGTGGGAACTCTGGAGGTTTCCCTAGTGCAGAAGTTCAGATCGCCCAAGTTCTGGCTTTCTTGTATATGTTGTCTCTGAGTCTTTGTAGGCCTCTCTCTCTCTAAGCCTCTCTTTGCACTGACTCCTCCTCTCCCCATTGTAGCATCACTGTTCTCCAGAGCATGAAGTTGGGCATCGATGTGAACAGACACAAGGAGATCATTGTAAAGAGTATCTCTGCCCTGCTGCTGCTCCTCCTCAAACACTTCAAACTGAACCATATCTACCAGGTGAGCAGCTAACAGCACTTCTCCGCAGGTCTCAGGTGTTCTCCAGGCCCTGTCTCCCAAAGAAGGGATATAGGGGCCTTTATGGTCCAATTGAACATCTTTCAGCCTCTCTTTGTCCTCCTCGGGGATTCTTATACCTGTTGCACAAGCTTGCGGAGGGGTATGGAGTGGGATGTGAGGAACTGTCCTAGACAGGTGCAGATGTCTGTGTCCTTTGAACATTATCCAATGGTTGTGGGTAGGAATCCTTGGCTTCTTAGGAATGTGCCCAGCCAGCTTTGAAGCAGTGCAAGACAGGATTCAAGTATTTCACCAAAAAAAAAAAAAAAATGTGGGGGAGAACTATGTAGAAAAACTTTTCTATATGTGAAGCCCTTTTTCTTTTTAAACATTTGAGATATAATCCTGAATAAGGCATAGTTTCGGCTCTTAAGGGCTTTGAAATCTTATAATATAAATAGCTAATTATGGAATGATAAGTGTATGATACAGGTAAGCTCTGGCTGGTAATCCAACCAATGATAGAGAAGAAGTGACTTCTAACTTGAATCCTAAAGAAACAGATGTTAGTAAGGATATGGGAGGTATCAGGGAAAGAAGATAGGAAGCATTTCGAGCAGAAATGTTAATCTATGGAAGGCCAGAGAAGAGAGGAAAAAATACCTTTGGAAACTGGTTAAATGTTGCTAGAGTTCTCCCTGGAGCAGGGGGAGACGGGGAGGCCTGGTGATAGAGGATAGCAGGGAGCAGATCATAATACGTATGATAGCACACAGTTACTGAGTACTTACAATGTGCCCAACACTCCGTTAAGTTCGTGTGGCATTTCATTTTACTCTCTTAATCCTACGAGGTAGGTCTTATTTTATCCCTGTTTTATAAATGAAGCAGAGCGTAAGAAAGGTTAAGAAGCTGCTTCCCCACGAAGGCATTGTTTACCATGCTGAGGAGTTTGGACTTGGTACTGTGGGCATTGCCAAGATATCAGATAACCTGAGGGCAGGGAATGGATGGTCTCTGTGGTGAGAACATGGGGAGGAGAGGAGGTACCTCATGACTGCTCAGTGTCTTTGCCCCACTTTTATCCTAAGAAGTCAGAACCAAGCTTGCTGTTAGAACAGCAGGTTCTCAGAGTGCACAGAGCCTCCTGCAGGGTCTATATGCATGTAGGTTTGCCTATATAATCAGGGTATTTTTCCACTCTAGTACATTCAGAGACATCTTTGGGTGTGTTATAGGTGTCCTGGGTTCTCGCACTTCTTCTGCCAGTGTTTGCTGAGCAACAGCAGGGCTGGGAGGAGTAGGGGTGGGAGGGAGATAGAGTTCCTAGTAGCAAGAACAGAGAACCATAGACATGTTTTTTCTGTCTGCTTCTCTTGGTGGGCAGTATGTAGATCAACAGCCAGACAGGTGGGTGGCTTGATGGTCCTTGCCAGTGTGTGTCAGTGTTGGTGAATCCCAACAAGGCTACAGACACATCTCAAATTGAAAAACATTTTCCATAACTTCATAGCGGGTATGTATTGGCTGCTCCATCTGGAGCTTTGGAAAATACCCCTGGTCGGCTGCCAGGGAGAAAATATTTGAGCAGAAGAGAGAAAGGGGCAGCACAAGCTTACTTCCCGCCTCTAACCACACACACACAGGGGCAGAAGGCAGCTTGGCTTGGTGCCAAGGCTACTTCTTGGTGATCAGGAAAAGCTACGGGATTTAAAACACCACAATTTTTTGCTTTTCAACCCGGTTTCTGTACTGTCCCAGTGTTTGGGTTCTGGATCTGGAAGAAAACTGTATCTGATGTTCCTCAGTGCATCACAGGTAAAATCCAGGATACTGCCCACTAGGTCTTCCCAGACACAGACCCCATCCAAACTCAAGAGCAAAATGGAATCCCTATTTCTGGTGTTTAGCCCATCAAAGAGATCTTGGGATTAGCCCATCAGAGAGATCTTGGACTTATTCTCAGTACAGTATCTGTTGACCTAAGGGCTCTTGTTAATCCATTCATTAAAATACTGATAATGTAAGTCCAGGGATAATATAGTGAACCAGACAGACTCATGCTGGAGCCCACATTCCAGTGGTTCGCTTGGTTACTGTGTGCCATATCCATCCTGTCTGAATGATGCCAGCAGTTGCTGGGAGTAAGCTGCACCTGTTCCTGCTCTATCAATCACTGTTGAAACACTATGAAACAGAGGTTTGGTATGGAAGACAGCTCCCAGAGGGAGTCTTCCTTTCTTGTTGAGCTTAGGAACAAATATTGCAGCAATTCCTTCTATTTATCTGGAGTGGGATTTTCTTTTTGGCTTGTTTATGTTTTGTGCTTTTGGTCAGGTGCTGGCAACATACACACACTGCAGATTGTCCCCCTCCATGCAGGATGAGCTGGCTAGATGATGCTGCTCCCTACTTCTCAGACAGGAGGATTGATAACACAAGTAGACAATAGATACTCTTAGGAATGGATATTAGAGTTGTGCTTGCCAATCCTATTTTTTGTATGTACCTTCTATTATCCCACAAATAAGCAGCCCTTTCTGCTTTGATCTTTTAATCCAGTTTGAATATGTGTCACAACATTTGGTATTTGCCAACTGCATTCCATTGATCCTGAAGTTCTTCAATCAAAATATCTTGTCGTACATCACTGCCAAAAACAGGTATGGGCTCTGGACAGGTTTATTTCTAAGTTCTGTTTAGGTATGGGTTGAGAAATATACATCATCTCTGAGCCTTTCAGTTCTCTTTTTGCCCCTAGTCCCTTCTCCTTTAGAGCTTAAATTTAATTTCCTTGAAGTGTTAGTTGATGTGGTATGTGATTTGGCCTCTTCGCAGAGCTATTTGTATTTTAATAGTTTTGAAAACTAAAAAAAATATCATAACTCAAATAAATTAAACTGCAACAATGAAATTTTAGCCCTATGGCAGAAGGATCGGAAGATTTTTTTTTTTTTTTTTTTTTGGTGAAACAACCTTCTTATCTGGCCAGCCCTGATCTTAGTTTAAATCATTAGTTGGAACAATTATACCACTTTGTAAACTGTAGTGTTATGCAGAATTTGTAACTGAAAATAAATAACACACCCTTACTTAGATCAGTTTGTAATAAAACATATATATGGTATTTTATTTAATCTCTTCAGTAATGGTTTAAGTATTACAACAAGTTTTATTCTCATTTCACCAATTAGTAAACAAATTCAGTAAGCTTAATTGACTTGCTCAAGATTAACATGCTAGTGAGACAACTTAAGTAAGCAGCAGAGGCAGGGTCAAAACACAAATTGTTTTCTGGTCACAATTGTTATGAATACAAATTGCTTTTCACTCCTCCAGTCAAGTGGGGACTTGGGGTTTACAGAGTAAATCCTTGTTCTTTAGTTTGCTACTTCCACAAGAACTATAAGCATATTAGAGTTTACCAGAGGATGAGGTCCTAAAGTAGAAGTAAGAAGGCTGATCTGAGGGTACCTGGGTGGCTCAGTTGGTTAGGGCGACTGCCTTCAGCTCAGGTCATGATCTTGTTGGGGTCCTGGGATCGAATCCAGCATCGGGCTCCCTGCTCAGCTGGGATCCTGCTTTTCCTTCTTCCACTCTCCCTTCTTGTGCTCAATCTCTCTCTCTCTATTTCTCTGTCAAATAAATAAATAAAATCTTAAAAAAAAAAAAAAAAAAGAAGGCTGATCTGATTACTTGGGGTGACTAGACAGGGCCAGGAAATGGTGCCTCACCAATCTTGTACTGCCTGAAAGTCCACCATGGAGAGGCACCCTACTTATATGTAGTTTAAAATATACAGAGGCACCTGGGTGACTCAGTAGGTTGAGTGTCTGACGCTTAATTTCAGCTCAGGTCATGAGCTGAAGGTCCTGGGATTGAGACCCACATGGGGCTCCTCACTCAGCAGGGAGACTGCTAGATATTCTTTCTCTCTCTCCCTCTCCCTCCCTATCCCCTATACTTGTTCTCTCTCTCTCTCAAATTTTTTTAAAGATTTTATTATTTTTTTTATTTGAGAGAGAGAGAGGATGAGCAGGTAAAGGAGCAGAGGAAGAGGGAGAAGCAGTTTCCCAGCTGAGCAGGGAGCCCCGTATGGGGCTTGATCTCAGGACCCTAGGATCATGACCTGAACAGAAGGCAGATGTATAACTGAATGAGCCACCCAGGTGCCCTTAAATAAATAAATCTTTTAAAAAATAAAATAAAATGAAAATAAATAAAATACACATATACACATGGAACTTTCTGAAGTCATGAGACCTGCCATTTACTAGCTATGTAATCTCAAGTAAGGACCCTGGTTGTTTTTTTTGTTTGTTTTGTTTTGTTTTTTTAAAGATTTTATTTATTTATTTGAGAGAGAGACAGTGAGAGAGAGCATGAGCGAGGAGAAGGTCAGAGGGAGAAGCAGACTCCCCATGGAGCTAGGAGCTCGATGCGGGACTCGATCCTGGGACTCCGGGATCATGACCTGAGCCGAAGGCAGTCGTCCAACCAACTGAGCCACCCATATGTCCCAGGACCCTGGTTTTTTTGAGCCACAGTATTTTCATGTTAAAATGAAAATAATTTGCTGGGTGCCTGGGTGGCTCAGTGGGTTAAAGCCTCTGCCTTCGACTCAGGTCATGATCCCAGGGTCCTGGGATCGAGCCCCACATCACATCGGGCTCTCTGCTTAGCAGGGAGCCTGCTTCCTCCTCTCACTCTGCCTGCCTCTCTGCCTACTTGTGATCTCTGTCTGTCAAATAAATAAAATCTTTAAAAAAAATTAAAATAATGCATTCCCTGACTATATCTTAGAGCTTTTATATAAGTATCAGTTAAGATAAACTTAGGAGAGCCCTGCTCCACATTTCCAGTAAGAGATCCACCCCTGCCTGGATCAATCAAGTGTGGCAGGGGCTCAGGAATTAAGTACCATCCCTCACCTTGGGTCTGGAAGGGGAGGGCAAATAATCTGATAGGTGTCCATCAGGTTCTAGTTGGAATTGGAAGAATGGTAGTGCCGGACTAATCAATAACTAAGTTTGGCCAGGATAAGAGGGTCCTCTTCTACACCACCTATAAGCTTTACTGTGGCATGATCCCTGAGAACTCACGGAGCGCCCATAGCCCCTTCTTGCACAGTTTCCTTATGGCTTTTACAATCTAGATAGATATTCCAGAAACTTGTAACTTTATTTTTTGCCCCCTTAGGCTAGAATTCAGTTCACAGAGGATGGCACAAATCTATCTTTGATTTGCTGCCCCTATTTCCTGGTTGCCAGCATCATCTTTGCCATGGGGCTTTGTGGGAAGTGGGTAGATAAGTAGATAAGCCAGCCAAGAATATTTATACTAACGGAGCAGTAAGTACAGAACTCACAACCCTCGGAGAATCCAGAAGAGTGATTAAGATGATGAGCAATGTTATAGGTAGACCCACTGCCCTCTCTTCTCCTACCTTGGTTCCCCTAGGTTATCATTATGGGTTTCTTGGACAAAGGTAAACATTTCTAGGTAAATAAATTGTTGCCTTTTGCTTGGATAGAGTTTTGACTTTCAAAATGTGGAGACAGGTCCAAGAAACCCACACTCCTCGGGGCGCCTGTGTGGCTCAGTGGGTTAAAGCCTCTGCCTTCGGCTCAGGTCATGATCCCAGGGTCCTGGGATCGAGCCCCGCAGCGGGCTCTCTGCTCGGCGGGGAGCCTGCTTCCCCTCTCTCTCTGCCTGCCTCTCTGCCTACTTGTGATCTCTGTCTGTCAAATGAATAAATAAAATCTTAAAAAACAAAAAAAAAAGATTAAAAAAAAAAAAAAGAAACCCACACTCTTTTATGGCCCTTGCTTTGCCCACATCCTTTATCTATTTCCAATTGCGCTAGTTCAAATAGATTGGTTATAAACCTTATGGAATGTCAGAATGAGAAGGAGCATTAGAGATGAGCTAAATCCTGCACTGTACCAATGAAGAAGAGAGAAAATGAAAGAAAAAATTTTAATTTTGAGTAACTATGTCCCTGTCATAATGCAGTGCATCATTTTCCCTACCTACTCATTCCTGCTTCCCTGGGCTCACCGCAGAGCCTCCAGCTCCCTTATAGTCCCCCACTGTCAGTTCTGGGGGCAGATACTGTTATCATTCCCTTTTTAAAATTTTTTTTTAGAACATACATGAGTGCAAGTGGGGGTGGGGAAGGGTGGGCAGAGGGAGAGAGAGAAAGAGAGAGAGAGAATCTTAAGCAGGTTCCATGCCCAACACAGAGCCCGATGTGGGGCTTGATCTCATGCCTCTGAGATCGTGACCTGAAGTGAGATCCAGTTGGACTGGAAGCTTAATTGACCAAGCCACCCAGATGCCCCAGTGCTGTTACCATTCTTGAGCTACTAGATTGGCCCTGCTAAGGGAAGCTGCCTTTGTCTTAAGCTTCCTTCAAGAATGGCCTCCATGAGGAGGAGAGAGGTGGCTATACCAGAGGCTCCCTTGCTGCCTTCTTTTCCATCTGCTAGATGGAGACTGGCTTGAAGGAACTCTGTGGGTTCTTCTCATGACTAGAACTGGAGTTGCCTGGCACCACAACCCTCAGTTTCAGCTGAGGTCACTAAGCAATTTGGGAAATAGATTGGGCCTGCTGGAGAGAAATAATTCCTGCCATTTCAGAATCTGCCATTTCCTGCCATTGCTATTTCCCTAAAGCCTACCCTTTCTCTGCATTTTGCAGCATTTCGGTCCTGGATTACCCTTGCTGTACCATTCAGGATTTGCCGGAGCTTACTACAGAGAGTCTGGTAAGCAGAGGGGGATTTGGTAGCTTTTGAAATTACCAGATGGCAGAAGCTGGTATTTGCTCTTCCATTTCTTCTCCAGTTCCATAATGCCCTGGTTTGGGCGTCTCAGAGCAATAAATGTATATTGGCAAGAGGACAGTGTCAGTGGGGGTTTAGAGCTGCTGACTCAGCTGAGAAAAATTTGGAAAAACTGAGCATAGCAATTTGCAGAGAAGAGAAAAGATCAGTGACAAACACTAAGGAGGAGAGGGAATTTAGAAAGATAATGGGACCGAAATTGAATGTGAACATCTGTGCTAAATGGCAGGAGAAGCTCTACTGGTCTATTCCAAACAATGATCTGTCTCCTTTCCACTATGCTATAGGCTACTCACTTTTCATTTTCATATAGATTATAAAACCCAGGAGTGTGTACTTCAGAAAATACCTTGCCTAGATCTCTTTAAACCAAAAATTGGTAATACCCACAGAAGAATGACCCAGAAATTTCTTCATCCTGGAAAAAACTTTAAGCAAATCAGAAAAGTCCCTCAAAATTACTTTAATTTCATTAAACTGACTGATCAACAGCATCCTGAAGATTAACTGCCTGCCTCATATAAATATACCTCCTTAGATACACTCAGTCCACAACCTCACTCTGTTGCACGGTACTTGGTTATCTATATCTGTTTCTCCATTTGACTGAAAACTCCCTGAAGGGAAAGATGGGATGGTATCATCTTCATTTTATACCCCCAGAGTCTAGCACTGTGTTTGGTACATGAAAGGAGCTCAAATGCTGAATGTTGGATTATAGCACTCATTGTCCCACAACCCTTTGCCTCCCAACTTTAATAATTGCAAAATGTTGCATTAGAAAAATGGACTATGCACAAATAGAATGATACCTTCTGTGGAACGGTTTTATAGAAACAGGATTCTTGGCTGGAGGTGACCTGAGAGCCATTTAGCCCAATCCTATTTCAAAGATGAGGAACCAGAAGGCCCAGTGGATGAAGTGACTTGTCATGGTCCTCTCCTCATAAGTGATAGAGAGTGAATTAGAAAAAGACCCATGTTTTAAGAAACTATGTCTAGCACCCATTTTAGCCTCAGGGCAAAGATTTCCTGTCTCACTTAGATGTGACCTCAGTGGCCAAGGAAGCTGAGAACTTCTTATGCCTGCAGAGAGAAGTAATAAGTTGTCTAATAACCCTGTTTATGCACATGATATTATTCAGTCTTTAAAATAACTGTGTAAGCTTGGTATTACTGTTTTATAGATGGAAGCTAACTGCAAAAACCTTACAGTTAGAAGTCGCAGAGCCAGGGTGGAGACTTACATCCCTGCTGTTTAGAGTTAGAATGAAGAATGCACTTTCTCACAGAAAACAGTGATAAACAGCATTAAAATGCTACTATAAGTAGGGTATTTCAAAACGTAAAGTCAGGTTTTATGGCTGAAATCTATTTCTTGATACAATATGTTCTCTTTTCTCAATCCCATATGTAGGAAATTGATGGGAACTATAACTTCAAATCTCTTCTGATTTACCTTTTGGGATATGAGCATAAAATTATTGAAATAATTGTTCTGCCTCTGAAAAGATTTTATTGTTATCCATGCGCAGGTTAAAAGCACGTATCTATTCTAAAGAAACCAATTGGTGTTAGGTATTCCTCTTCTTTCTGTAAAGCAACAGTGGCACCTGGTGGTTTCAATTGGTAACCACAGATTTTTGTTGTTGGCTTAAATTTATGGTGTTAAGTATTTCCCCTGAGCCTAATGATGGGCTTAAGTAACTAGCAAGTTTATCTGTTTATCTAAACTGATGGCTTCTACACTCAGAAAAGACTAATGTTTATATGAGTAAAATGCATCTCTTTTCCAGGCGTGTTGAATTAATTATAAACAGAAAATGTATTGATTTTTTTATAAATGTAGAGGATTTTCTTTAAATAATATTCCAAATTTTTTTCCTGGTTATAAAATCAGTATATACTAATGCAGAAAATTAGATAAATACAGAAAAATATGGGGAAGAAAACAAAAATACCTTAATTATACTACCTACACGTAACCACTGTTAATATTTTCCTATAGTCATTTATATGTATACTATAGTATCCTATAGTACACTATATGTACTTATTAATTCATATATACACACATACACTATTTAAGAAAATAAGGACTTTGTATATGTTTCAATCCACCTAATAATTTAAATATTCACAATACAACTTTGAACATATTTAAGAACATAATTTTTAATAGCTGCCCATAATATTCCACCCAATTTTTTCATATAATTTTTTAATTTTTTATTAACATATAATGTTTTATTAGCCTCAGGGGTACAGGTCTGTGAATCACCAGGTTTACACACTTCACAGCACTCACCATAGCACATACCTTCCCCAATGTCCATAACCCTACCACCCCACTCCTTAATTTTTTGAAAATGATTGCTTTCTACTACTGTTGGGCATTTATTTCAATATTCCCTGTATAACTCCAAATTCTAAATTCTTCCCATTTTGTCAAAATACTTAGCTCTACAACAGGCCATCCTTACCAATGTACTACCCACCTGGTATAGGAAGGCTTACAATTTCTGTATCTCCAAATGTCTATATTCAAATTCAACCCACTAAAGTAGGAAAACATTAAATTCCAGACATAAGAGGTTAGTGACTGTATGGTCATGTGGAAGATAGGTATCTCTTTGGAAGGAGATTGCTAGAAAAGGCAGTGGAAAAATAAACTGAGAGTTGCTGGGGGGTGAGGAGGTGGCTGGGTTATGGACTTTGGGGAGGGTATGGGCTATGATAAGTGCTGTGAAATGTGTAAGCGTGATGATTCTCAGACCTGTACCCCTGGGGCAAATAATACATTATATGTTAATAAAAAGAATTTTTTTAAAAAAGGAAAGGCAGTGGATATGGCTTCAGCAAGTATTGTAGAATGCTCAGTATTTAGATGGTTGTTTAGGGCAGTGGAATTAAAAAGTAAGGTGTGCAAGATGATGCTTTGGAGGATGGAATATTTTTATCTTTTGTATGTATAAATATCATTTTGTCTTTCTATATGTGTGTATTAGAACATACATAATATCATTACAATAGTGCATTTCTATCTTAGAAGTAAACATGTATATTTAGGAGTACAACAAAAATTATTTACTGAGAGATATGTGCAATAAAAAAAAAATCTTAAAACCACTGCTTTCAGAGGGCACCTGGGTGGGCTCAATGGGTTAAAGCCTCTGGCTTCAGCTCAGGTCATGATCCCAGGGTTGTGAGATCAAGCCCTACATCGGGCTCTCTGCTCAGCAGGGAGTCTGCTCCCCTTCCTCGCTCTCTACCTGCCTCTCTGCCTACTTGTGATCTTTGTCAAATAAATAATTTTTTAAAAAAATCTTAAAAAACAAAACAAAACACCACTGCTTTCAGAGTATGTTGAAATGAGGGTAAGATTGTAGATCTGCTTTCTTTGTGGGCCTGTTGGTCCTAAAGAGAAATCATACAGGTTACATCCCATCCTCCTTTCCTCTCCTATCTTACAGAGATGTGGACCAAAAAAAATAATGTGGAGAGTTCTGTGTAAATCTATTGTCACTGCTGCAAAGCCAACCCAGAGTTCAAAATACTTGTTTTTTCCTACAGAATATGATTTAGTAACAGTAGCTTCACATACAAAGAAGGGCATATATTTTGAACAATGTAAATGCTCAAATAGGCCTATGAATTAAGAATGGAGGAAAGAGAAAAAGTAGTATTTATGGAATCACTGAGTATCAGAGCTATAAGTTTCTTTGTATCTTGCTAAATCCCATCCTTTACCGATGAGGAAATGGGTAGAGTGGTAAAGTGTTGTCCAAAACCTAATAGTTAGGTAGAGCCAAAACAGTGAGTCAGAATTTGCATGACCTAGCCATTTGCAAAGAAACATTTGGCATTTCCTTTTAGATATATGCAAGTGAAATTATTAATTCTTGAATAAAGCCTTCCAACATTTAAAAGTCATCACTATTTACAACCAATATTGCCTTTAGCATTATTGTTTCTCTGTTCTAGATATAATGTGAGTACATCATAAGGTATTTGTTTTCTATGAGGTATATTTATATAGAGGAAGGACCATGGAAAAATGTTTTTTAATATTTTATCAACTTACCTATTAAGTCACCATTTCTGTAACGGGTAATAGAGAGATTAGAATCTCTGGAATTCTTTTTCTTTCTTTTTTATTTTTTAAGATTTATTTATTTATTTGAGAGAGAGCATGCATGTGCACACACCAGCACACACAAGTGAGAAGAAGAGCAGAGAGGACCAGAGAATCTCAAGCAGGCTCCATGCCAAGCACAGAGCCTTATTTGGGGCTTCATCTCACAACTGAGGTCACTACCTGAGCAGAAACCAAGAGTCTGGAGGCTCAACTGACTGCCGCACCCAAACACCCCTCTGGAATGATTTTTCAAACTCATTTGCCCAGATCCCTCTCCAGGGCACAAATAGTTTGCTAAAGCTCCCCAGATGATTTTTAGATTTTCTCTTCTCCTTCCTCCTTTTTCACTCATACCACTTAAGAATTATGGCTCTCTTTTATGATATTTGGGGTTTTTTTAAAAAGTTTTAGTTTAATTTAATTTAACGTAATTTATTTAACAGAGAGAGACACAGTGAGAGAGGGAACACAAGCAGGGGGAGTGGGAGAGGGAGAAGAAAGCCTCCTGCTGGGCTGGGATCATGACCTGAGCTGAAGGCAGACCCTTAATGACTGAGCCACCCAGGCACCCCAGATATCTGGGTTCTTAATCTAGCAGTAACTTAATTGTCAGAAATCCATACGATAAGGGAATTATTCTATAATGATTTGGGAAAAGAAAGTCTAAGTTAAAAATATGAATTCATTTTCAGTTGTGTGAACCATAATAATGGAATGAATCAAAAGAATAATTTTCTAAGAAGTGGTTATTATTGGAGTTTTCAGTCAGTAAGTGTTAAAACCT